GATCCGTTCTTCGTCTCTTCCGGCTGGCACGGAATTTGCGATTTCGGCTGACCTCGAGCGGTCGTCCTTGTCCCCGGGATTGCAGGCATTCCAAGCGATATGCTCCACGACTCCCGATCATAATTTTTATGGTCCTGTCATTGCAATGCTCATACAGCAAGGCCACGGAGAGGCGGCGATCTCAATGCACCATTTCCTTGCTCGGCGTCAGGATCACCCACAGAGCCCTGACGAGATACAGCCATTGCTGGAATATGTTGAGAAATTCGGGCTACGAAAAGAGTTCAATAGGCTCCGTGGCTATGTCAAAAAACGATTTGATACCGAAGCTTCGATTGATCAACCTGGCCCAATAGATACAACCCCAAAATCTGAGGAGAAGGGGTCGCAAGACGAAAAACCCTTCAAAGATGACATTGGTGCTAAGCTGTTTGCTACTCGTGCTCTCAATTTCGATATGATCGTTGGTGGCTTGAAGATGCTCGGTGTATCAGAGATCGGCCACCGGACGTTGCGCGAACTAGCCACGAGAGCTCATGGCAACCAAGATCTTCTGGACAAGCTTAAAATACTTAAGCAGTCCGGCATTTCTATAGGAAGTACTGTTTTCTCGCGCTTAGTTCAAAAACTTGCAGCCCAGAACCGCGACATCCTTCTCTCCGACATCCTCCGCAGCGATCAGCATCCTGACATTCTCGAAGACAAGCGTATGCAGGAGTCAATGCTGGTATCTTACTACATGGCACGGGATTGGCGATTGTACAACATGACTCTAGCAGTGTTAACGGAACTATACCCGGGGGCACCAGACCTCTACGACATCCATTTTCGAAAGCATATTGCGGCCTGGGAATTGAGCGCGGCGTCCAAGGTTGCCGACGAGCTAGCCCTTCGTGGGCGGACTTTGGGCGAAGACAGCGTGGATTTCATGGCAGACCAGATTCTTACCCCTCGGCGAATGAACCATCGCCCGCCACCGGGTCAACGCCTGTCTGCCGTCGACGAAGTGATCTTCATCTTCAAGATTTTAAAGCGCGTGGTTCCTGCGGGAGGGTATGTGAGTGCTGCATTTTGGGTTGAGATGCTCAAGCGTCTCGGTATGGCAGATGCATGGGCGGACTGGGATAAACTTCGAGATTGCTGTCAGTGGCTCGTCCGCCAATACGCCGAAAGCCCTGAGCAGAAGCCCAAACTGTCACTTGATCCCACCAAGCAGGCCAACGGCCGCGATCGGCGGATGCTCGATTTGGTCTTTAACCCACAAATGCAAGCCGCCATCGTCTCCTGGGGCTTCACGTTCCGAGTACTGGAGACCACCGCATCGAAATTCGCCATCACCTCACCTAACTCCCCAACGGATGAAAAGCTCATTCCATGGGTACGGGGGCTGATTCTACTTCGAGAGCTAGAACAATCCGGTCTTCGTCTTGACAAGCGATTGATCTCCCAGGCAGTCCGCCACCGGCTGGCCATGCTCTACAGCCACCATGTTCTGTCGGCGCGGCGAATGAACCGCATGCTGCGGCGGCGGAACCCGTATCCTCTACAGCAAGTGTTGAACGATGTGTTCAAGGCCTGGGGCGACCCATCTCTCTTTGATGGGGTGGAACAGAACCTGGAGCAGCTGGTGAATCCGCCAAGAGCGACCAGAACGAAACGACGCGCCCCGGGTATACGTTTGTCGCTTAAAGGACTATGAGACTTGCACATGTATATTAGCAAATATGTAAATAATTGATCATAATACCCATACGAGAATCAGTGTACACGTAAGCCTTTGACAATGATCGCCAAGGATCAATAAAAATTCATATAAATCGTATATTACTCTAGATTGCTAATAGTTATGCCTAAAACCGGGCTATGTCACAAGTAAAATGGCCCAATGGCAGTGCCGCCCCGTTGTCGATCCACCGATCTAAGAATAGTTGAGACGGCAACGCGGCCTTGTAAACATTCTATTTCTATCTCCTTTCTTTTTCTTTTCTTATTTATATTTGATTCTACGGACTATATTCTATATTGGTTACATCTACATCATTTGTGTACAGTTATGCGAGTATTCAACTTCCTGGCATTGTTGCCCGTAGTCCTTGCGAACCCTTTGTTTCAGAAGCGTACGACAGCATGCAACAACTCTCCTGATCTATGCTCCAAGTCCTATGGAGAAATCACACATCTCGGTGCCCATGACAGTCCCTTTGTGCGTGACGATAGTACCGGCAACTCGATAGCCGCCAACCAGTATGTTTACCTCCAAACTCCAATAAGAACATGGCAGACTAACACCCGTTCTCCAGATACTACGACACTCCCACGCAACTATCAGCCGGTGTTCGATTAGTAACGGCCCAAGTCCACAAGAGCAACTCACAATGGCGTCTATGCCATTCCACCTGCGACCTGCTCGATGCGGGGTTGCTGAGCGATTGGCTGAAGAAGATCAAGACATGGCTGGATGATAATCCAAACGAGGGTGAGTTAGTTCCGCAAAGGATGTATGGAGAGAGGAAAAACAAAAGCTAACCGCCTCCAAAATAGTGATCACAATCCTCCTAGTCAACTCCGACGACGCTACAGCCTCCGATCTCAACACCGAATTCACAACAGCCAACATCACCGACTACGCCTATGAGCCAACCACCCCAGGCACCGCCCCGACTACCTGGCCAACCCTACAAACTATGATTGACGACGGCAAGCGACTAGTCGTCTTCGTGGCCTCCCTAGACACCAGCGCCAGCTATCCCTACCTAATGGACGAATGGAGCTACATCTGGGAGAATCCATACGACGTCAGCTCCGCGTCAAACTTCTCATGCTTGCCAGACCGACCGTCGGCATACAAAGATAACAGCGCATCGGCACTTGCAGCTAATCTCCTCCCACTGATGAACCACTTCCTTTACTCGAGCAACCTCGCGATCATAGACGTGGAGTACCCGAACGCCAGCTACGTGGGGACGACGAATGCTGCGTCCGGCGGAACAGGCAACCTGGGCACTGCGGCTACAGACTGCAAGAAGGCATGGAATGGGCGACAGCCGAGTTATATCATGGTGGACTTCTTCAACCGCGGACCGGCGATCGACACCGTCGATAACTTGAATAATGTTACTAATCCCGTTGGCCGCAAATCTGTCTCGACTTCGGCGGAATCGACCAGCGATGCTTCGTCGACGAGTAATGTGTTCAAGGCGCTGGTTGACCTGGCGGACTCGGCCAGGTCGGGTACTTCGGTGTCTATGGGGAACTGGATTTGGACTGGTGGGAACTGGGGGAATCTTCTCGGTGGGGGGATTTCCTTCTAAGCTGAATGATTTGGCCTCGATTTGTTTTGTGTTGTTTTTTTTAATCTTTTTGGAGCGTTTATACGTTGTTTCTTAGATATCTTTTGAGTTGAGTCCTATGGTATGGGGCTGGCCCTGGCTGGACGGTGCATAGGTATTTGCATTCAAGAACACGGCGTTTTGGATTAGACTTGGGATGACGGGGTTCATCGTTTCCCCCAAGGAATATATGGTATAGTTTCTACGAATGGGATGATTCAAAAGGCAACTTGTGTTCAACTTTCTAGTCTTTTCCCAATAACTTTTGCACCTTGGTCACCTTATCCTCAAAGGACTGCACTTTATCCGTCCTGGAGATCATTAGCATTAAGTGGATTGCCCAACCCGAAAAGAAAACCCACCTCGACCCAACACGAATATCAGTATGAATGCGAACAATGCCTTTCTCATGCAGAATGGTATGCGCCTGTCCGATGACCTGATGAACCCGGTCCCAAGATCCCTCTACAAAAGCAAAGTCAGTAAATATAGAAGTGTTACCCGGCCTTGTCAGCTCTCAGCTCGCATTCTCTCCCTTGCTTTCAGTTTCAGCTGCAAGAATGGGGATGAGAGCAAGTTCCATACAAATACACGGAGGCGGAACTGCAGAGGCCGGAATAATGTACTATAATACTATAGTATTATAGTATATAGGCATATATTCTATACGTACCGACGGTTGTGCCTGCGGAATGCATGACATACTTCAAACCGCATGTTTCAATCAGCCGCTGGACGTCAGCGACCTGGTTAGCAACCGAGGGCGAAGAGGTACCGATCTAGAGATTGTTAGTTGGGATGGAGATGAAAGAGACTTTTCGACTTACAGGGACCAGGCAGAAATCGGCGACACAGTGATCAGGGGTTGGGATAGAAGTCATGGTGAGGTACAATGGTGGGGTAAAAAGGGAAGGTGAGATATTTTGGGGGATATATAAGAGAGAATAGAGATGAGGTGAGGATGTGGTCAGTGTGACATTATATCGGCAAGGCTGAAACTTCATGTTTTATAGAAATCAAAAGTACTACGCTTTACACGATTTACACATTTACCGATTTACACCTTTACACCTTTAACACTCGCCTGAACACTCGAGCCTCCTTATCATCTCACATCTGCAGAGCATCTGCATCTCTACAGTTCGAGGCATATTGCTGACCGCCATTGCCCCGATAAATGCGACTTCAACTTTGCCCTTGACATCTTTTTTTTCTTAAAAATTCCAAGACTCCATGAACTCCTAAGACTCTACTTTTATGGTATGATCGACTCCAGGGGGTGCGCCACTCTTATTGAGTCCCCACAACTAAACCCTGCTCTTTTTTTTTGTCACCCCGGGTTTTTGTTTTAGAGAATATCGGGCTTCTTTGTCCGGAATCTCCGAAATCTTCAGTCCCCTGAGTTTTGGTCTATTTTGTTCTTAAATTTTTCCCGCATCTCACTTTCGTCAGAACTGATTGGACCTCCCACCGTGCCCAATCCAAACTCGGTTTAGCCCCATCACTGGGATATCCATCACCTGCTGAGGCGTTCGTATACATTCTCAACCTGTCGATCTGGGAGTTCATTCAATACATTTATCTGTGGCGGGGATACCTGATTTGTCGATTATCACGTCATGATCACAGATATAACTTGGATTTTCAGCCCAACACCCATTCCTCTAACGGATGACCAAACGAAATCGTCTTGAACTCCCAAGGGGAGTTCAACTCGTTTACCTTGCCGAGGGAGGAGCAAATGTGATTTATCGATTTGTCGGAAATCTAGGACTCGGCAAAAAAGACCCGAGGCCGCTATCTCCGTCTGCACTCGACACGGATCATTGCAACCTACCGCCCCAATTCAAGGGAAAATTGCTCCGACTCCGCAAAGAAACCGCAGCCGACATCTCGTACAAAGAGATAGTCCGAAACTTTGACACTATCATCCGGCCGTTATTTAACCCCGAGGAACTAGTCGACCAAACCCTCATCAGACTCCCAGAGGGTCTCCTCTCCAGCTGCAATGAGCAGCTCAGATCTGCCGAACTAAACGGCGCGCGTCCAAAGAAGCGTCATGGCGGTTATCTCTGCCTACATGAGCCGTTCGGCCTCCTCATCACCGACATGACGACGACTGGAGATCCCAACGCTAGCCTGGCCGAGCTGAAACCCAAGTGGCTCACCCAGTCGCCATCGGCACCCGCGACAGCGTACAGGTGTCGGACCTGCGCGCTGAGGGAGATGAAAAACCGCGAGTTGCAACTCCAAGGCCTCAAAGAGCAACGGTTGTTCTGTCCGTTGGATCTGGTGTCGGAGCAGTATGAGAATGTGCTGCGGGCGACGGGGTTGATCAAGGGCTGCAAGGATCGATCGCGGCTAGCTCGGATTTTGTATCGCAACCCGACACTTCAGAGGCTCCAGTCGCTGCAGAAGACTGAAAGAGATGTCGGGCTGCAGGGTCCGGCGGCACAGTCTCGGGAGATGTCGCTTGCGATGACTCTGCGGGACTGTACGATGTTTATCAAGGTGAGTCATGCTGCAAACCCAGGGATTGTCGTTCCAGTCAAGATTAAAATCCTGTCTTGGAAAAACATGGTTCAGATTCGAATATTGACCTCCCCCCCCCCCCCAACAGATCCCCCATGATGAAAAGTCACCCGTTGAAATCCGCCTTGGCGACCTCGATTTGAAGACAGGCGCCGGTGGGAAAGCTGGCTACTGGCGACACCTGGAAACACAACTGATTAACCAGGGCTGGTATCGGGGAAGCAACATGAGTCAAGATTCCGGCGAGTGCTCTTTGCATAACCCGCGAAGACCCTCTCAGTCTCATTTATTATGAGACTATATCAACCTCGTTTGGAATGGCGATTCGAGTTGATGCATTGCATTTTTTTTTAATGATGTGAACAACGGCAATGGATGCGGCGAGTTTGCTTGGCGTGGCTCTGACTTGTATAATAATTCCTTTTGACTTTATGATTTATTTCGGGGGAGGACTTTTTCGGGCTTTATTGTTTCACGGGTTGGACTTGGGCAAGGGTGGGTTTCTGATATTATTCTTTAATGATTGCACGTTGGAATATGAACTTTTAAGAAAGACTCTGGTATCGGTCAAAAGGAGCCACTAAGCCCTACCTATAAGCTCCGGCCATCCTACATTAGCAGTCGATAAAATAGGTACACTTTCTTGGATTCCTGTAGGGCTGTATTGTAGGCTTATTGAACTTGCCGGCAGGTAGATTTGGCAGCCCTGTGCTCGGGGCCTCTCAGACAAGGGCGCTGAAGATGTCATCGAATTTCTGTGGCGCATCCTTATTAGCAGCTTCTTTAGCATGCTGGTCGGCCTCTGTATTCCATTCCCTTGGAACATGCCAGAATTGAATCCGCATTCCTTTTCTCATTCCACTGTTCCACCTCGAGTAAAGATTTCCAGAGGTCCTTATTCTTGACAGGTGCTCTCATGCTCGTTGTCCAGTCGTTCTGTATCCATCTCTTGACCCATTTCGTCGCACCCTCTACCACATATCCAGAGTCTGTAGCAATGACTAGACAGGTACAGCCTTCACCAGGCCAGTATCGTGGTCACGCGGAATCAAATTTGATCGATCTACCATGGTCGTATCTTGTCTCTCGGCCTCGGCTTCTCACGGCCAGTTCTTTCCAATTCTTTCCAATTCTTTCCAACTGTAGATATTACTTGATTTCGGTTTGTGTGGAGTGGTGGACTTGAATAATGGGAAGATGTCAACTGAGAATATTAGGTTGATGGGGAAAGATATGCTGGGGGTGTATGGGATAGGATCTAAATATGGATGGGAGAGAGCAAGGAGATGGACGGCTTTGTATAGATCACACCGCCGTATGGAAACAGGAACTCGATGAAGATCGCGATGTAATGAAGATCATTGATCGGTCTCAGCTCTGACACCAATTCTGCATTATCATATTGTCACACTGTAGCACTCTATGAAAAGAGATCAGCCCGGTTATAGTATACATGTGGTAAAATAGTACTATAATGCAAGAAGGATATCTCCCTGGAAGAGCCAAGAGATAATGTGGGAAACGATACAGCATATTTTACCAGACATAAAAACCAAGATATGAGGCCTGGAGGCGCCATATCTGACATTCGACAGATAACCTCCCCACTTCCCGCATCCCACTTCCAACTCCCCAAAATCCTGGACGATGGACCCCAAAGTCGGAATCGGCGTCTTTGTTTTCAACGCGGCTGGTAAATTTGTCATTGGCAAACGAAAGGGGAGTCTTGGTGCCGGTAAGTCCACATGCAACACGCAAGAATTACGCTTATTTGGGGTTCAAGGCACATGGGCATTACCAGGCGGACATCTCGAATTTGGTGAATCCTTCGAGACCTGCGCAGCCCGTGAGACCCTCGAAGAAACAGGTCTGAAGATCCGGGATGTGCGGTTTCTAAATGCCACGAATTCAATCATGAAAGCAGAGCAGAAGCACTACATTACCATTTATATGGGGGGTGTCTGTGAGGAGAATGATCCTCAGGTAAGTAGATATTTATTGTTATGAGAACTTGCTTTTTTGTTTGGCACCCTTCATTGCATATTCCCGTATTGTGGCTTTTTATCACACAGAACGAGCTTACTTGTTTCTGTAGATCCTTGAGCCAGAGAAGTGTGAAAAGTGGGAATGGACCTCATGGGATGAATTGCGGGCGTATGGGGAGAAGGCTGGGTTTGAGGACAGGAAGTTGTTTTTGCCTCTTGTGGAATTGTTCAAACAGCGACCGGATTTTCGGGTTTGAATTTTCTACAAAATTCACAGGCTCGGAGTGGAGAGGAGAGAGAATTACTGCACGACGAAAATCGAAAAGCGGGAACTATTGAACTTCGCCCCTAGATTAGAGCCAAAGCTGCTAGAGAGCGAACTGGCGAATCCATTAGCGAACTGGCAAGCGGGGCGAATTGCCCAGTTGGTAGCGATCTGGCCAGTTCGCTCCTGCCTACGGCAACCATTCATAGAGCTGACATCATTCAAATCAAGTTGCATCTGATACTCGGACACTTTAATCAAGAGATGTCCCAGGTCCCATAATTCATCCTTCCACTCATCCTTTCAAATGGAGACGCCTTGAAGCGTTGTTTTGACGTTTCCTTGACTGCGATATCTAGACAGGCCGGCCAGAATTTTCATCAGCAATGCGCTTAATCCTCACTCGCAGGACTATTCTCGATAGGTATGATCGCATTGCCTCTTGTAGCCACAGTGGCAAGGCCCTGAGGGACCCAACCGCCGATGCACGCCTAGGCACGATGGTTTGCCCACTTGTTCGAGTCACAATATGGTCCACTACTGCCTGAGAGACTTCTTTTGGATCTAGGAGTGGTTGACGGAAATCTGCTTCATATTGAGTGAAGCCTTCGATCAGGGGAGTCCGAACCCAAAGGGGGTGAATGGAGCTGGGTCTTGTCAGCATGATTTCTTTTGATGAAAGGCTTTCCCAAACTAACCTCGTTCGTACATTCGGAGCCTTGTACCAATATTTCAACTCCTGCCGAAGGCCTTCCTGGAAAGCAAGAGCGCTAGCCTTCGAACACGCATAGCCCACCATCTCGCCTACAGTAAGAAAGCTCGCAACACTCGCCACCGAAACGACATGGCCACGGTTCATACGAACCATATACGGAAGAAATTCTTTCAAGATGAGGAAATGAGAGACGATGTTCACATCGAATGTCTGGCGCAACTTCTCCTCTGGAATTTCGAGGATAGTACCATGGTGGAAAACGGCAGCATTGTTCACAATAACCGTCGGCTCTCCATGCGACTTTCTAATAGCGGCGCCCGTTTCGGAAAGAGATGTAGCAGATGCTATATCTGTTTGATAGAATGTGACGTTTCCCGGAAGGTCAAAGGTTGGTCGGTTGATATCGAGGACCACCACGCGTACTTTGTTGCGAGCAAGCTCTTCCAGTATTTGTCTGCCAATGCCTCCACTCCCACCGGTCAAGAGGACTAGCTCATTCTCTGGGATCCATGCCTCACTGGCTTGGAAGTTATTCAAAATTCGCTCTGAGATGTTTGTATGGAGGTAGTAAAGGACGAGAGAGCCGATCAAAAGGCTCAACGAAGTTGTGATGATTGGAGCATTCAAATAGTCAAACATCGTGTCCAAGAAGGCACAAGAAGGCACAAGAAGGGGAAATAGATACAAATCAAAGACGACTCCTTTTCGAGCACTTCTACCTCTGATATGCTGACCCAGTGCGGGGCTGTGTCATACCAAGATCAATTGTCATCTTTGCCAAGAGTGAGATTTGGTGTATATTGCGGTAAGGCAGTTACACTGACTACATATGACAGGAGTGTGCAAGGTGTGTGCTACAGTGAATTATCGGAGTGATATTTCTCTCGCCGTAGATTGTTACATATGAGTCCTGATACTCAAGGCACATGGGAAACGATCCTAGTCTTTAGCCTATATTTATCTAGGAACGACAACCATGGCAAACGGGCATCGAACCAAGCAAACAGAGCAGAGAGACAAATGCCCTCTCCCAATAAGCCATGCAGATTGACGTCTCTCACTTTATATATTACTCTCTTTAACACAGGGCTATAATTCATTATATGGGAAAGGCCACGTAGTCACCAAACCATCCGGTAAATCTCCCAGAGATGGACTCAAATCCGCATTAGTATACGATGGCCGCATAGTTGCAATCTGACAGCCTTTGGCATCAGAGGAAGACACTTCTTCCGGGTAGAATAAGATACGACCTCTTATGCATGTGGAGATTGTCATTGATAAACCTGTTGAATGGAGCCATGTCAACTGTCGATTCGTAGTGTATGTAGCTTGTAATTGTCATAGGGCCGGCGATCAGGATGAATATGGTGACGAAGGTAGTTTTCCAGGCTAAACAGGGGTTCCCTTTACAGATTCTATATGTAAGCAGGGATTCACAGGGTGTTTGTAGGTCAATAGCCATAATAGATAGTGGGTATAAGTATAATAGACGGTACTATAGCATGAAGATTCATGAGGGAACAGAAATCAACGGAACGTGCTAGAATCTTGGGGTAAAATGAAGATGATAGAGAAGATCAGGGCCTCAGGTACCTGCCAAGCCCAAAACAAGAACTGGAAACACCTTGGCATTTGCTTGACTTATGCTTAGAACAAAGAACAAAAATCAACTTGAACCAAAAACCCAGTCGGATACAATAACAGCAACAGTCGCAACCTGTCCAAATGTCAGTCTATACATACCGCCGTGTGGACTCGGAACACTCACCAACGAGATATCAACTCCAGGCATTATAATGACCTCCATCGCAGGCCGATACCCCTGTCTTGACCCTCTCATCAAAGCCAATTTCTCATTATGATGAATACTCTCCCGAACCTCAGCAACCTTCCGATCTCCGTCAACAATATCAAAAAGCGCCAGCGCATTGCCGTGTCGTTCAATATGCAAAGTAAGCATCTTCTCATCCACGCGTTTCCCCTCAAACGCCGCCGCATTCTCGAACGAAAGATCAAAATTCCCAGACGACGTGTTCCCCAATGTCCATCGCGGAGCGCCAGTAGCTATCGTCGCAATATCACATCCGGGCAAGCTAACCCACCAACTATTCGTCCATGACAATTTTCGATGCAGCTCAAAGAGCGGCAGGCCCGAATGATCGCGGAACTCCCGACATGAGCGGTCGGTGTATTTGCGGCCGGTCACCGTAAACTGTGGCGTGCCATCCTCTTCAGTGATTTTATATGCGACAGCAGAGTGGGGAGTGCCGAAGGGTCTGAGTACGAGGGTGGTCTTTGAACGGGCTATGTATTGGTTGCGGAAGGCGATGTCGCGATTTGGTGATCGGAGGGTTTTGCGGGGCTTTTGGGTGAATGTTTGCGATAGCCGAGCGTTGGAGTAATAGGTGTAGGACATGGCTGTCGGTACTGTTTGTTCGCAAGATGTACGCACTGGGTCTATGATGGGTGGCTCTTTATACCTCCAGGGATAAGTTGTACAAGTGTATCTTGAGCTACATGTCCTTGTTGCGGTATTTATTTCGCCCAATGCTTGATGATCTTACTAAATCCTGAGCCACATGCCAAGGATTGTAGATGAAGCTATCCCCCTCAGGGCTTCAGCGGGGTAAGTAATGTGCTTGTGGCTGCATGTCTCGACTACCCAGGTGTATTATGATTGATAACATGGACTCAGCCACCTCTCATATCTCTCGAATGCAAGTGTCCTAAGATTTAGAGAACCAGTCTGTAATCTCAAGAAACCAACCTCGGGATGAAGTAGAAGGTGGAGATGATGAGTCATGCACCCAGGTGACCGTTAGGCAACCGAATATCATCTCACATCTTCCAACTGGCTGCACAATGGGAAAATTCACTGTGAAATCGCTAGACCATCTGGTCCTAACGGTCCGCAGTATCCCCAAAACTGTCGCATTCTATACAACCTACCTTGGCATGCGGCACGAGATCTTTACACCAGCTAACCAATCCATTCAAAGGTAACCCCTCTTTTGATATCTTAATGTTTAGAAGTCATTGACGATGATAGACATGCCCTCATCTTTGGATATCAGAAAATAAACCTCCACCAATCCGGCAAGGAATTCGAACCCAAGGCCCGGGATGTTATGCCAGGAAGTGCCGATCTATGCTTTTTGACAGACGAAGCTGTGGAAAATGTCTTGAAAGCATTTCAGGATGCGAGAATGGAAGTATGTACATTCTTTGCATATGGTGTAGATAGAGACTAATCTTGACAGATTTTGGAAGGCGCCCAGGTTGTAGAACGAACCGGGGCTGTTGGGAAGATTCGCAGTGTATACGTGAGAGATCCTGATGGGAATCTTATCGAGTGAGCCTTTCTCCTTTTTTCCTTGGAGTATCAAGTCGGCTAACCCCAGCTGCAGAGTGTCGAACTATGCTTGATGAACCCACCTGGGACCCATAGTCATAGAGATTCTCTTTCACTTTTCATGCCTTCTATGCTTCTCCTATCGGGGGATTAGGACAAATTCCGATTATACCAATATGTACACGGTAGTTGTCCTGCTCCTTAGGCGATGCAAATGACTCGACAATGATATTGACAATACTCTCACCATTAACAGAGTCTCAGATCTTTTTAAATTGATACATGACCTGGATCATATCTTCGCCCTCATTTTTGATCCGGTATTCATTAGACGAGCAGCTACCAGCACCAACGCACCCAGAAAGAAGGTTGACCCGCCCCAGATCTGCACCCCAATGTAACCGCCGGCCCTAGCAATGAGAGCTCCCCCAAGGGGTGGGCCAGTCAGACAGGCAAAGCTCACCACCGTAAAGCCCATGCCGATGCGGACTCCGGTTTTGCTTAAGTCGGGCGTGAGACTAGAGAGTGTTGATGGCCAGAGGCCCTGCACACCATTGGAAAATATGCCATAGAGCACAGCAAAGATGTACAGGCCCGCGGTCGAATGAACAGCAGCCCAGCAAAACATCATCAAACTAGCACCCAGGGTAAGTGGAATGATGGTGTTGAGTGGTCCAAACCTAGAATCGGCCAAATAGGCAGGGATGAGGCGACCAATGATTCCCGCGCCATTGGTTACAATGATCAGATTGGTTGACTCCGAGTAAGTCAGGCCAAGAACGCTGCGGCCAAATGCACCAATGTAATAGAAGGCGAAGTATAACCCCCAGAAATTCAGAAACATGCCCAGACAGAAAAGCACGTAGGTCGGTTCCCTAAATGCGGCCCACTCAATGAGAGGACCAGCTCTGCGCGGGGGTAATCGAGTCTGCAACAGAAGCATGGCAGGGATACTCGTAGCGAACATGACAAATCCCAACACCCTAACCGTCCAGCCGAATCCGATCGCCGGCATGAGAGCCTTCACCAAGCCGGGAAGAAGCATGCCTCCAGTCCCACTTCCAACCAGACAGAACGCCAACGCAAACACTCTCCGCCCAGAGAAATAAGTAGCGACCAGTCCCATCACAGGGCAGAACTGCAGACCACTGCCAAGGCCTGTGCAGACTCCCTGGGCGAGGAAGAGCTGCCAATAGCGCGTCGATAGCGAAGTCATGAACACCCCGAGAAGCTGCAGAAGGATCCCCGCATAAAAGACTGGGCGGAAGAAGCCCGCATCCAGGGCCCGGCCGGAGAATGTCCCGACAAAGAAAATGAGGAAAATCTGCACGGATCCAACCCATGAAATCGCAGATGGTGAAACGCCAAGCGTCGATTGATAGTAGGCCTGGAACACGCCAAAGCTGGCAATGTACCCCCAGGTGTTGAACGCCACCAGATGGCCCATAGCAGCTTGCGTCCATGCTTTCGCTCCTCCGTCGGGCGGGGATCCAATGAACGAAGACTGTCGGTCGTGTGAAGACTCGGGGGCTTGATTTTTCTCTGTCATGGTGGGAGGTACAATACGATGTGAATCATCCAATGTGGTGAAATAGTGAAGTTGGGATGGTTCAGTCTCTTTGTGTTCGTCTCGAAGAGCATAATAAAACCTTGGAATGACTCAAAGTGTGAACTAAGAAGCAATTATGACAACCCGTTTTACCCGCTATACCCGCTATATCCACGGTTCTTTTGACGGGTGTGTATACAAATATTTCAAGGTAGGTTCAAGGTAGGTTCAAGGTCTATTATTCTATGCATTTGGGCATCTCTAGAGATCCACCTTACATGCCAAGCACCGGTGGATCGACAGGCTCCGTTATCTCATTTACCTTGTCCGGTCGTCTATGGTTGTCCATGGTACTTTTGTTCTATCCTTTCAACTCGGGTCCCTGGCCTTGCATGTGGGCAATTCAACGGTGCTTCAGCGCCTCTCGTAGCGTTATCATCTCCTCAAAGTGGTTATTGGTAATTTCATTACAGATATTCTTGGGAGACTCTTCTGCTAGTCATCGACTCGGTGATTATTGATCACCATCAGCGAATTATCGACCACGAAAGTAGGGTCTGAAACGCATCAGTTCTACTATTTGCTATGCCTTGAAATCGTCATGTTTAAAGCTGCCCAGATGTCGCATCGGCTGAGAATTCTGCTATATTGGCTTGGTTTCGTTTACTCTTGGATCTTTACCGAATCTGGGCAAGCGTCTCCTAGGACTTTATATATAGGATTGTATTAAGTAGAATCACCGAACCACAGAATTCCAAAACCCACCCTTCTGACCAATTAGCGAATATCAAACATTCTCCATAAAAGTTGGTGGGTTTTACTCCCATTTTATGCAACATCAATACAATGACGACATCGTGGATCAGTCGTCCTGGACAGATAGGGCCGCTGCCCTCTCGCGTAAACAGATGGTCCATATAAAGTATCTGAAGGGGTGAATCATGATCTTTACAACCCCCAATAGCAAATCTCGCCGAATCCCGAAAAATGCTTCGGATTTGTCCAAGTCGTTTCCAGGATATCTTGATATGGGGTTGAAAGATGAAGTCTCGACAATAGGGAGAATGATTATGTTTTGACTTTATTTGCTCACCTACACGCAGTTTTATGGATTCGATTGTTTCCCAATATCAAACTCAATATTTAACCGTTCAGGATAATTGTTGATGATTCCCGTTCCTGGGGACCGACTAGCTCAGGTACGCGATGCACTTCCATTCTGTTAATTCCTCATTTCGTTTTCGGTTTTGTTTTTGTTTTTTTTTTTTGAAAAAAAGAAAAGAAAAAAAGAAAATGGCACGCGATGATGATACTTTTATCTGTGACTTACTTTTCATGGTGAAATTTGATACCTTATGTTTCAAGACGGGTCTCTGAGCGTGCCAATTTTACCTTGTGTTTTGCAATCTGCATCTTATGTGACCATGCTAACTCAAGTGAAGTCTCTAGTTATCTTGGAAGAAGGGCTTGATTCTTTTAATACATTGTAATATTTGCGACCGAATTTCCCAACTGGTTGTAGGCATCTGGTACACCGGGTTTGGCTACCTACCAGTAGATAGCTTCAATTACCAAAGAATTTATACTTCTGCTATAAGCACTTTACAAAGTAACTAATTTGATAATATAACTACTTGCTGATTAACCTGCTGATCAATGAATTACTACGCAGTTCCAAGGTTATTTCCGTAATTCCGCTATATCGGCTGAAATTGCCCCTAGCTACGGATTGGCAATCGAGTGATAAGCAAAGCCCTGGAGAGCGTTTGGGTAATAGTATATAATCGACCCATCCACATAAAATCAGTCTATACAACTCACCTGGACCCCCAAAATGACAACCCGCCTGCAAGTCCCTCTAAATGCCATCACCTGCGCACTATCCAGAACCAGTCCTACACGTCCGGTATCCACCCGCCAAGCCCATCTATATCGAACTCCAACACCTCGTCCATTCTCCTCAGCCCCAGCAAACATGTCCGGCCTAATTGATCTAGCTAAAAACAGGCGCACGATCTATAAGCTCGACAAGAAAAGTCCAGTCCCAGACTCCAAAATCGAGGAGCTTGTCAATGCCGCCATCCTGCATGTTCCCAGTGCATTCAATACCCAGTCTACACGCCTAGTCGTGCTCTTACATGAACAGCACGATAGACTGTGGGATATCGCCATCGAGACTTTCCAAGGTCTTGTTAATGGAGGTAAAATTTCGCAAGAGATGTGGGAGAAGCAGACGTTGCCCAAGCTACTTGGTTTTAAGGGGGCATATGGAACGGTACGTAGTTTAATTTTTTTTTTTTCCTCTTGGTTTTTGGTTTTCTCCTGAACCTCGAGATACCCAGTCCTGTCCATCGCTAATCAATACCCAGGTCCTCTTCTACGAAGACCCAGCACACATCAAACCCATGCAGGAGAAATTTGCTACATACAAGGATAACTTCCTGCCGTGGGCGGACCACTCCAATGCTATGCACCAGTACTTTCGTACGTTCATTTTCTCCTCTTTCTTGTTGTTTGTTATCTAACATTTACCAGTCTGGACGGGCCTTGAAGCGCTCGGCTTCGGTGCAAACTTGCAGCACTACAGCCCGCTCATTGACGCTGGCGTTGCAAAGCAGTGGGACCTGCCCAGTGAATGGCGGAATGTTGCTCAGCTAGTCTTTGGGGGTCCTGGAAATGATGCTGGAGAGAAGGTACAGAAGCCTGTTGAGGAAAGGGTTAAGATTTTTGGGAAGCTGTAGGTTAGATATAGATGAGGGAAGAATCGTGCTGTAAATTTTGGTATATATCAGAGCATCTCTCTCTTGCAAAGAAGCCACAAAGTCTTGAAGACTCGGGTAAAAGTAAACCTCTTCTGGGGACTTTTTCTACGACAGAATGCCTTTAAGCCTGGTTTTGCTAATAAACCAGTACCCATTCGGTCCTCTTTAGGTTTATTATTTTCGCTCCGTCAAAAGATTCCAAGAAAGATTAACTCAAGGATGTTATAAGCATATAAGCATATACATAGAAAGGCGTTAAGGTAATGGATCGCTTATAAGGACTAGTTACCGAACAAAATGCAAGATAGAGAGTGAAATACAGAACTATTCCCAGGTCTTTGATTATTATGAGGGTTACTGGTAGGTGATATATTTATACTGCTCTTAACAAGTTTGGTATTATATATCCGGCATATGAATTAGTCTCTTTGAAAGTAGCCGACTATCTTGATTTAGGCTTGAAGCTATTTCCCTGATACCGTTCCTTTGTACTAGGATCGGCACGCGAATAGACGGACTCGAACGTTACGTAATTACGAACAACCTCCACCTAGGCAGGGCTCTCCTATCATAATCTACATCTCTCTCTCTCTTGCTCTTTTTTTCTGCGAAGTGGGATAATCTTTATTCACACCTCTCCGCAATGCCTCGGGCCAAAGTCGACCCAAGGTTCCGCAAGCGAACCGCCAAGGCGTGTGTTTACTGTCGCATGACGAAACAGAAGTGCGATGGGTTAGCTCCCTGCCAACAGTGCGTGAGACGCAATCGCTCTACAAGTTGCGCTTACTCGCCGCATGAGCAGTCATTCGGTCGCCGTCGCAACCGCCAGGGGTGTATGCACCGTACTCCTGAGACTGTACCACAAACGAGTAGCGGATTAGAAGTATCAGCTGGGGTATTAGGTTCCCTACCGGGGGTACATGGGACAGAGCGGTGTACCCAGTCACACGGTGAAAGTGCATCTACGAATGAGCCAGAGGTTACAGTACCTGGATTATCACATGTCCTATATGACAACAAGGGGAAAGTTGGTAGGTACATTGCTTCTTCTTCTACCTTTCAATAGAACTTGCTATATATGTAAGCAAAGCCGACTGATAATAACGGTGGTGATCGCGTAGTATACCTTGGGAACTGTGCAGCCCTATCTTTTCTTCAAAATATCCAACAGTTGATCGAAACTGAAACTGGATACTCTTCTATTGCAGCAGATGTCGCGGGTCTTTCAGTGATTGAAGAGTTGCCTCCGGTACCACCTGATAATTTGACGGCTTATAACTCAGGGAATGCGGAAGAATTGGAACGTCTTATTCGGGTCTACTTCATATCGGTACAATTCTTATTTTGTCACCGGTATTGAGTGATAGCTGACCATCAACCAGACATGTGGTATAGTTGATCTTTTCGAAAGATCTCATATCGAAAGTCTGTTACATCGTTGGATCAACGGCCTCATTCCTATGAAAAGTGGTTCTGCGGCGGTTCTGTTTTTGGTTATAGCCTGTGGGGCACAGATTAGTTCCTCGAATATGCTCGATAACCTTCGAGCACAATCTTTCTATCACCATGGTCGGCAGATAGCCTTACTTGAGCTGACTAACTACCCCAGTGTCGAGACTGTGCAAGCATTCGTTTTAATCAGCATCTTCATGTTAGGGTGTTCTAGGCGAAACGGTGCTTCGTTGAACCTAGGAATCGCCATTGGTGCTGCGAAATCTCTCGGCTACCACCAATCCAATGCAAATTCAGCATATGATGATAATGAGCGCCGGCAGAGGTAGGTGGAGTTTCATCCTGGGAGCATTATATTACCGAAAATTAGAATTCTGAGAACCCGCAGAGCCCAGATCTGGAAAACCTTGCGCTATCACGACTTGTTCTTCTCCGCAATGATGGGCCGAAGCTCCTCTACTTCTGATACGGGGTTTAACATCGACGAAGCACAATCTTCCACCCCCATCGAGGATGAGTATGATCAAAGCTTATCTATGACTGAGTCGGCACGTGCATTCCTCGTCATGGAACACATAATTAACGACGTGTACACAAAGCGAACGGTGTCACTAGGCTTATTGCAATCTCTTGCTCGAGAGCTACAGGAAAAGTGTTCCGTGCTGCCGAAGTCGTTACGCAAATCTTCCGGGCCTACAGTTCATGGGAGGTTTTGTCAATCAATCCAACAACGCAATCTTCGAAACGCTCACGTCACTTGTTCATACTACTTTGCCATGATGCTGCTCACCCGACCATTCTTGATTACTACCTTGAGAGCAAAAACACCCTCTGGGTCTTCAAGAGACCCACACGCAAGAAGAGCCAATAACGGGGGTAATAGTGATATTTCCTCGGAAATTGCCCATGGTGCAACAACTTGTATTGATTCAGCTACGTATGCTATACAGCTTTTGCATGAATTGCTCACAGCCAACATGCTGTTCAACAACATGCCATTTTTCATGTCAGTGACGTAGCCTTCATGGCTCCCTTAAACCCAAATTTGCATTCTAAGGAAGGTTTCAATCATTGACGTGGCTTTAGTGCGTGGGTTTTCGTCTCTGTGCTCGTCTTGAGCTCAGCCCATTTTGGCCAACTAGATCCTCAGAGATCGATAACACGAACCCTGCGCCAAGCCGACGATATCCTGGCTTGCTTTGCAGTGAACAGTCCACAAGCCAGGCGTTATCGCCTTATTCTGAAGAAACTTTCAACAGCCGCAGAACGCCAGAACGAGTCAAAGTCACAGTCTCGTGTTGTTCATATGCCACGGTTATTCCACTTGGACTCTGGCGACTCTGGGCGCAGTCCACTCGCCGGGAGTTCCATTCTCCCCGAGGAAGCAACAGAGGGTGGAAACATGTCTCAGCCTAAAATATGTAACTGTTGTGGAATTACTCCAGGCGGACGAGCGGTGGCTCCTACAGGCAGGCCCGAAGCCTACCACAACTCTGCTTCATTCCCGCAATCCGCCTTTCATTCTGAAGATATCTTGGATGTTTCTGGTTCCGACCTGGGCGGACCCCCAATGACAAGTACGAAAGAATCGCTTGGATACGGATCCCTGTTTCAGTTTGAAGGTGATGCATCTATCTGGGACTTTACCTGGGCCGGTTCGCTTTAGTCAAACATAGTTTCTACCAGCCTTGTAGAGAATGCCTTGTAGAGAATAGAAGGAGCAGGTTACAGCAAAGATCTTCTAATTTTGTCACCGAGCCTGTAGGTCTGCTTTATGGCCTTCCCATCTTAGGTTTTCATAAAGAGCTAAAATAATATACATTCCTTGGTACTTTAGATACTGAGTGGCTGTGGCATCCCCGGCTTCGCATCATAGCTAATCCTTCCCGCGGGCAAGAAAAACAAGGCTACTAATGCACCACCCCTCACTTCTGGATAGTGATGCGTTCCTGGGCCGGGGCTAGTCCAGCCCTCACCCTGCCAGCCGTTCATGCCCATCAGCTCGGCGCCTGGGCTGAGCTGGACAACACAATTGATCTCGCCATAGGGATGAGCGTGGTATTGGCCACGGTATTCATCGACGCTCTCCATGTAAACGGTCGTGATGCTAAAGTAGCGGTTTTCGACACACGGCCAAGAGACCTTGGAACGGCGGTACTTAGGGCCATCTAGCTCGTCGGTCGCTACCCAACCCTCATCGTTGGCGAGCCCGGCCTTGATGAGCTCGCAGAACCCGTCATAGTAACGGTTGCCGCGTCCATAGTCGGCATTTAGACGGGCCTCAAGGTCTTTTCCAGGGGTGCTGAGCAAGCGATGTCAGAGGAGGGAGGCACCGGAAACAAGGATGATGGGAATGAGGGGGCCATGCTCACAAGCTTTCGACCTCAGCGAAAAACTCGCCCGCAAGCTCGACAAGACGTTGCTGATTAGGGTGAATTTGTTTGGTCTGGGTATTGACAGACATCTTGGAGATACAGTCAAAAGTATGTATAAGGAATGGGACAGACTATGTTACGTGTAAGAAAACACTAGACAATCAAGTGCTGTGGAAGTGACTTGGACGCCGATGAGAAGATTTAATAGTGAATAATATGAAAAAAGAGACCGAGCTGAACGAGCCCACTCTCCAAGCTTCCATCATCGATATGAGGTCGTTGTTATTGGTGCAACTTCGGTGTACTATCCAGTCCTCCATCCGGTGGAGACTCCGGTGCAGCATCCGGTGCAGAATCCGACGTATCGCCCGTGTCCCGATTTGTTTATTAGCACAGTTAATTGCAACGATCTCAACTAAAACACAATGGATTGGATCGTGTTTCTTCCTAATTGGCTTGGACATGTCCCTTACTGCCTCACTCTCTCGCCTTCTTCTCCCCCGCTCATACCCGATATACGAACACATCCGAACATCACGCATAGAAACGAACACTCACCAATTTCCGCCACGATGGAAATATCCCTCACGGCTGTCTCATAGATGGCATACAGATAGGAAGAGGGTAGCATAATACGATCGACGGCCGACTTGGCCTCCGATATCACTGTACTCTCTTAACGTGTTTCCTTACAAGCCTCTTCATCCCACGTCTCTGTCAACTGCGCTCTTCTCCTTTCTATCTTGTATTTGGCAGTCTCTCTCCATTTGTGGTACATTACCCCCCCCCCAAGATGTTATCATCGATCATCGCTGCGTCTCCCCTCGTCATCGCCCCAGCAGTGTGTCTGGCTCTTCTTCTAGCCTACTATCTCGGCGCCTACCTGTTCCAAAATAAGGGCTTGTCGGACATTCCCGCAGCCTCACCATGGGCTGTCTTGACTAGATTCTGGCTGCTGCGCGAAGCGCGATTCGGTCGACGTTATCTTACTGTCGACAAGGCGCACAAGAAGCATGGCGACATGGTCCGTATCCAGCCCAACCATGTCTCCATCGCCAATGTCGACGCCATCAATGCCATCTATGGTCATGGCAATGGATTTCTCAAGAGGCAAGGGATCCACTGTCGCACCGTCTATCTATCCCGAGGCCCACGATTAACATCCACATAGTGACTTCTACGACGCCTTCGTCGCCGTCTCGCGCGGTCTCTTCAGCACCCGGGATCGCGCTGACCACACGCGCAAGCGCAAGATTGTCTCGCACACATTCGCAGCCAAGAGCGTCATGCAGTTCGAGCAGTACATGCATCAGAACCTAAACGAGCTCCTGCGTCAGTGGGATCTCATCTGCGAGCGAGCTCCTACAAACACCAAATTTGCGCGCTTTGATTGTCTCCCATGGTTTGCCTATCTCACCTTTGACACCATCGGAGACCTTGCCTTTGGCGCCCCATTCGGCATGTTGAATAACGGCCAAGACACGATCGAGTACATGGACTATCCCGGCGGTCCTTCCAAATACATGAGCGCCGTCGACGCACTAAGTAGGCGTGGCGAGGCTTTTGCTGTGCTAGGGTGTCTGCCATTTTTGAAGACCATCGGCCATCTCCTGCCTGACCCGTTTCTGCGACATGGCGTCCGCTCCGGGGAACAGGTTGCGGGGATCGCGATTGCGCGCGTCAATGAACGCCTTGTGTCGACAGCAACGAATGACAATAAGCGTGTGGATATCTTGGCACGCTTGATGGAAGGCAAGGACGTGAACGGCCAACTATTAGGTCGGGAGGAACTCACCGCGGAGGCATTGACCCAGCTCATTGCCGGTAGTGATACTACCTCGAATACTCTTACTGGGTAGGTTATCCCGTCTCTTCTCCCCCATAAAGTCTAGACAGAAAAGACTGATGTTTATAGGATCTTCTATTGGCTTCTAAAAACCCCTGGGGTTCTTCAAAAGCTCCAGGCCGAACTTGACGCCGCTATCCCCTTGCCAATTGACGAGATTTCTTTCCAGTCTGTCAAAGATCTCCCATAGTACGACTTTCTTCTCCCCCCGGATGAACAAGAAAACAACCTAATGACATCTCACAGTCTGAAAGCTTGCATGAATGAAGGCATGCGTATCCACTCTACATCAGCCATCGGTCTCCCACGTGTTGTCCCTCTTAATGGCCCCGCTGTGGATATCTGCGGCCACAAGTTCGAGCCTGGCACCGTGTTGTCGGTACCCAACTACACGATCCACCGCCTCGAGAGCATCTGGGGTGCTGACAGCAACCAATACAGACCGGAGCGCTGGGAAAGCTTAACAGTGGATCAGAAGAAGGCCTTTGTGCCGTTCGGTCACGGACCGCGGTCCTGTGTAGGACGCAATGTTGCGGAGATGGAGCTGACGCTCGCGCTGGCGAGCTTAGTCCGACGCTACGACTTCGAGCTCTACCAGGACAGGTTTGACACGTGGGAGGGGTTCTTGCGGAAGGGGTTTCACTGCGAGGTGGGAATTTGCAGGAGAATGACATAGACTCTGGAGGGAGATGCAGTAAGCTGAGGTTAGGGCATAATGTCAAACGTCAGATATGGTGCCTCTAGGCCCCATACAATTACCTTGAGTTCTGTGTGGTCTATTAGTAAAATATAATGATAGATGTATGTTATAGGGCATTGATATAAGTAGTGCGCCTCGGATGGTATAGTTTGCTATCGGTTATGCACATCCCGGGTTATACATAGAAAAGTCGCCTCCACAGATTAATCCTCTTACCACTTTCTCTATGCTGTCTATAAGACCGAGAAGAGGAGAATATATCTCAAAAACATCTAATAGAATATCTGAGACTGCTAAAAGAAATATACCAAAAGGCCGCATAAGCGGCCGTCTACTCTTGTATGTATATGTAGACTTGTACCCTGCAGGCTCATGGTTATCGCTCGATTGCTAATCCGGGGGTTACCTTGAGAGTTGGGCAGCTCATTGGGCCGGGTAGCTTGGCACGTTCACATACCCCCTGGGAGGGTAAATGTAAAAGCAACCCCGGACCCTCCCCTATCACTATCCCTGCCAAGTATTCTGAAGCAAAGCCTAGAGATTGTGGATCTAATGCAGCAGAGTGGCGAGATAGACCGTATGCCGGAGGACCCCCTTGGTGGCGGACCGCCTGCTGGAGCTTCACAAGTCGCAGGTGAATCCACCAAGAGAGAGGATCAGTTAAACCCGCTGGACAGATCAGAAGCTCCCGGTATGGGAATTGGCGCTCAAAAATCCATCGACCTGGATGATATAATCTCTCGACTTCTAGACACGTATTCGACCAAAGTCACCAAGACGGTGTGTCTTGAAAATGCCGAGATCACCGCCATCTGCAGTTCAGCCCGTGAGCTCCTCCTTTCTGAGCCAGTACTATTGGAGTTGCCCGCCCCCGTTAAGATCGTCGGCGATATCCACGGTCAATATATCGATCTGATCCGAGTCTTTGAAACGTGTGGATTTCCACCGGAATCGAACTATCTTTTCCTCGGCAACTATGTAGATCGAGGAAGGCAGGGCCTGGAGACCATCCTCTTACTGCTATGCTATAAGCTCAAGTACCCGGAGAACGTCTTCCTGCTTCGTGGCAACCACGAGTGCGCTTGCGTTAGTAGAATGGGTGGCTTCTATGATGAGTGCAAGTGGCGTTCCAATGTTAAGATGTGGAAATCATTCATCGACACTTTCAACTGCCTCCCTATAGCGGCGATCGTATCCGGAAAGATATTCTGCGTCCACGGTGGATTATCTCCTAGTTTGTTGCATATGGACGATATTCGCGGTATCGCTCGACCTACTGATATACCCGACCATGGATTACTGAACGATCTTCTATGGAGTGACCCGATATATGTGAACACAGAGGAAGACTGGGTGCCTAATGAACGTGGTGTGAGCTTCTGCTTTAGTAAAAAGGTCATTAAGGACTTTTTGGACCGGCACGACTTTGATCTGGTGTGCCGGTCTCACATGGTGGTTAAGGATGGGTATGAGTTCTCTCAGGACCGGACCCTAGTGACAATTTTCTCAGCTCCGAATGTGAGTTGACTGACCTAACTTTTTCAAGCCATTGCTAATCTTCCCTAGTATTGCGGCGAGTTCGACAACTTGGGTGCTATTATGTCCGTCTCGAAGGAGCTCTATACTTTTGACTTGATGAAACCTCTGGATTGGGCTGCGTTAAAGAATCACATGGAGGGTCGAATAAAGAATGACATATACTGAAGCGCCTTCAGGGCAATCATATCAAATAAGATAAATTTGGATGTCTCTATCTTGGTCAATTATCCATGTCATCCATGATTACATTGGCCAGATGTATCTATCTGTAGAACGGGTTTGTGAAGAATATATAGTTCAATGAAACCTAGGAGCTCTATACACAGACATCCCTCGGCCCAAGTACGAAGACCAAAAAGAGCAATTACCCAAAACAACCACGAAATAAACCGTACCTCCTACCAGTACCAATCATCTACCTCCCATCCCGATACCAGTACTCAGGCGAACCACCAAGACACTCGCCAACAGTAACAGCTATAAGCAACACATGTTAGCCATAACCCATTAACACAAAAAGAAAAACCTACCACGCAACCCCCTCCTCTCAACATCAGCAAGCATATTATCTACCAAAATCTCGACCGTATGCTGATGCGAATCATGGGCCAACACAATCGTCCCACCAGCATCAACCTCCCTCGAGAACTTCTCAAAACTAATCCAATTCGTATCAGGATTATCATGTTCATAGTCCTTCGTATCAACGCTAGCCCCAATGACATGGTACCCCAGATCGGCCATGGCGCCGAGAACGACGGGGCTATATCTAAGGAATGGGGGGCGCATGTATGTCGGGAAGAAGCCTAGGATGCGCATGAAGGCTTCTTCGAGGATGATCATTTGCTGCGCGATTTCTTCGTATGAAAGAGTATCGAGAGAGGGGTGATTCCACCTGGATGGTTATTTGGTTAGTGTATGTTGGTGCTTGGACTAGCTGGGCCGGTGAAGAGAGGGTGGATGGTATCAACGAACGTATGAGACCCCAGCTGGTGTCCTTCCGCCAATGTGCGCTGCACTATCTCAGGGGTGGCATCGATGTTTCCTCTGTTACGACCGTTGAGAAAGAAGGTTGCTCTTACTCCGTGTTGGGCGAGAGTATCTAGCAGCCGGGATGTGTAGATGTACGGGCCATCGTCGAAAGTGAGAGCGATTGTGCCTGGTGTGGTACAGTGGGTGATTATGGCCCCGACGGGTAAGTTGGATGCGCTGAGCTGGGTGGTTTTGGTGTTTGTATTGGTGTTGGTACTGTTCCCTGTGGGAGCGGCTTGGGATAGGGTTGTAGTTGAAAGGAGGACTGGAATTAAGAGAGCGAGACAATGCATTGCGCGAATGAATGAACCAGGACAGAGTCCACAGGTATATAAGGATAATTGGAATGATTGTTGCTTGCCGAATTTAGATGAGGTGAGGTCGAGGGTTCCAAGGTTGCCCAGGTAGGAGGGCCATCTACTTCGCTGTTTCCTGGAGATCAATGATCTGAACATAAAATCTGCATTGAATGTAGCTGAACGTTTGAAAATTGCATCCCCAATCTCATGGTAGATATTAAATCTTCCACATATAAATATGAATACATCAAATTAAAAAGGTATCAAAAGGGTAGGATAAGACATTCAACCCGCATCTTTCCCACAGAAAGGAGCGAGAAGACAGAATAAGAATCCTCCAGAACAAAGACACCCGTCTAACCCTTCCGGGTGCTCTTCTTCGCCAGGCGTCTCTGTCCCTTCTGAGCCTCACGGTCAAGGAACTTGCGCTGCTCGTCTGCGCTCAATCCACGCAGGATGCGCTCACGCTCATCCTTCTTGACCTTCTCGGCGGCAATGCGGCGCTCCTCGGCCTTCTCTTCCTCCTCGACACGGCGCAGCTTCTTGATCTCCTCTTCGCGAACGCTGCGGACCTTACGCATGACTTCGCCACGGAAGTGGGCGGAGGCGACCAGCTTGTCGGACAAGCGCAGGAACTGGTTGAACAAAGGAAGGGTGGAGGCGTAGCCGGACGCGGAGGAGGCAAGGTTAGCAGCGAGCTGAATGCGCTTCTTCGGGATGGTCTCTTCGATCCTGGTGACACACACATTTGTTAGCAATGGGTCTGGTCAAAAGTCTCACACTGGGGCTACTTACTTGGTGGGTTTGTCGACGGGCTGATCCGTGACGATCAAATACTCAAAGGCATTACCAGCCTGCTCAATGGCCTGGATCAACTCCGGGGTGAGGAGGGTATCGCTAATCTCGGCACTCTCAGTCATCACGGTGACCCATGAGGGGAGCTTGGGGTTATCCTTGGAGAAAGTGATAGAGGCATCGTAGCGGTCGTTGCGGAACTTGCGCATGTGGCTCTTGTGAACAACAGCCCAGATGAAGCCGTCGTAGGTGGAGCTAGGCACTTTAACGGGGGCAGAATCCTTAGCGAAAACAGGAACGAGGTCCTTCTCCTTGCCATCGAAAGCATACAGCAGAGCCTCGTATTTCTCAACGGGCGGCTCCCAGCTCTCAAAGAAGAAGCTGAAGACATACTCCATGATGAAGGTGATAGGGTTGTATCGCTTGGGCATCTTCAGGTCGACGTCGAGGAAGGCAACATTCTGGCGGCCAGTCGCATACGCGGCGAACTCAGACGCAGACTTCTCCTTCAGCAGCGACTCGGGGTTTGCGAGCTCCACGGTGATCGCATCACCCTCAGCGGCTGCCGGTCGGGCGATTCCATCGAATCCGACGACGGCAAACTCCTTCTGGAGAGAAGGTACGTGGGCCTGCGCCCAGTCCTTCGCTCTCCGTCGGTTCTTGCGCGCTCCCCAGAGGTGAAAGAGGACAATCAAGAGGATGACGGGCATAATCATTGCCTCCTGCTTGAAGTCGCTTGGGGATGTCCTCTCCCATACCCGGTACCAGGCTGTGTAAGGAACAGCCTTGGCGGCCAGTGTGTTGGCAGCGGGGACGGTGGTCGTGTCGGCGAGGAGGGACGCAGGCGACGGGTTAGGAGCTTCCACAAAGTCGGCGAAGTCTACCAGAGTCAGCTCAGCAATTGAGATATATCAATTAACATACCATCATCGGGCTTAGCCTCCTGGGAGCCAAACACGTTCTTGAACATGCCCGCCATATTGGAATTGGTATGAATGGATGGAAGGGAAAGGAGTGGGAAGGAATCGAGAGATGCCCGGTGGCCGGTGCCCGGTGGCCGGTGCCCGGTGCGGAGCTAAGTTCCTCCCGGGTCTAGCGCCTGTCTCCAGCTTTTTTACCCGCATCGGAGATTTAGACGACACGATTGGAACAATTTGGGAAACTCATATAATTCTCAAAACCAATATCCAGCCATTTCGTTTAGTTACCCCATAACCCTCCCCTAAATAATCAATACAAAAAATTAACAGGCTAATGAGAGTGTGGTATCATGTAGAAATGAAACCCCCAAACAGAATCCAACGCCAGCTGTACCATAACAGAACCCAGTTTTATACAATCCCGCTCCAAAGAAATATCAGTCTAACTCAAAAAAAGGAAACAAAAGAACCAAGAAAGGGTAAGAAAAAAGAAAGGAAAACTAAGGAAATCGTAACGGTCATGCTCGAGGGTTGCTCAAGTGTAGAAAAGAAAGAGTTGAGCTAAGCGCTCAGTGACCATAGGCCGGGGGAGGACTGTCTTCATGCTGACGGCTCCAGAAGCCACTGCACGCATTTGTCATGAGCTTATCCTCACGCATCCGACGAGCAATTTCACCGGCCAGTCTTTCAACCAGGACAGAATCAACGCTTTCGTTGGGCCTTTCGTTGGGCCGTTCGTCTTTATTGAACGGGAGAATAGTTGCAGGTAACTGGGGTCGCTGGCTGCTAGACGGTCCCGGCTCGGCCTTCTCCTGAGGATAACCACGCACAGTAGCACGAGGGGTGGCGTCGATATCCTCTGCTTTGGGTCCACGGATAGTCTCATGGGAGTATGATAAGTCCCCATCCTGACGTGTTGGGCGGGAGAGGCTGGACAAATGCCTTTCGGGAATAATCGGCAAGTGGGAGTCGACTTTGGCTGACAGAGGTGGTGTGACCGGGTCATCTGACGGCTCGTGTACGATGGGGAGAGGCGCGGAGGCGATAGAGGGGGGTCTAGACGACTCGGTCATAACACTTTCATCGCTTACGCTCATGGCGTCATCTGTTGTTTTTGGGCGGCGCAGATCCACGACACGCTTCTTGCGTTTCCGAGAGTGGGCTTTGGAATGACGTCCAGCACCCAGGCTTAGACCATAGGTACTAGTACTGAATGAATGGCTAGACATGGATGGTCGGCTTTGCATTGAGACATTGCTGGCGGTTTCGTGAAGGGACGACATGCTTCCCATTTGGGAGTGTGTGCGCGAAAGGGTCGGGCTCAGTGGGGAGATCACGCTCGAAGGGAATTCACTGGTATCGATTGGAGAAGTCCATGCTCGGTACACCACTTCCTGGATCGAGGGAGTGAACAAAGACAGAGTACGTTGCGAATCTGTCAGAGCGGCCAGGCGAAGGAGGTTCTTTTGCGAGAAGAGGGAATGGGTCTCGACCGATGAATCCAAAGAGAGTGATGCGATTTCTGACTCGTTCAATGCATTTCCGAGAGAGTCGACGGGATCCTGTGGGGGGCTAGCTAGAGGATCTTGGCCAGGGCCTTCGCTTCTTGACTTGGCTGTGTTATCGGTCTCGTCATTCATTTCCTCCCCTGTGCGGTATTCTGGCACCCACAACCGGAGCGACAGTCGATGAATAATGGCGGGGAGCTCGTCCATGAACAATATCCGAAGCTGGGCTTCGATTTCTTTTTGTAGGAAGTCGCGCACGAACGGGATCGAATCGAAGGTCGAGGAAACCTTGAGCGACTCAAGCGGATCATTGCGAAACACGACCGTAATTCCTTTTTGCTTGGAGAAAACTAGTATGACGAATCCAGAGAGTTTGAAGTCGGAGAGGGTGATTTGTAGAGGTATAGTGAGGGGGGTACTAGAATCGCGACAGTGTCAGTAAACATATCTGCAAAGTTTGATATGAAGAACATTAAAAGACTGAAGACTTACGCTGCAGCAAGAGGTACTGGCGAGCCGAAAGTTGGTCGTGTGACGAGGAAGGTATTAAGTGGATTCGCCTGAACTCGGGTCTTCAAGGTGAGAAAAGCATCGCCAGTATAGGACATCTTAAAGATGCCACGAAAGCGATCTTCGGCCAAGTCACCGATTTCCAAGATCTCGAGTTCGGGGGGGATGGATCCCAAGTTCAACTCGGTGACGTGAATGTCATCAACGATGATGGGAGGTTTTGGCGATTTATTGAGAGCGGCAGTGAGCAGATCTTGGGCGCGAGTGTAAAAACTCGCGTCCGCCATCAAAGGCGACCAGTTGAAGTTGAACGCCATACCCAAGCATCGAGAAAAAAAAAGGAATATATTAAAAGGACATTAGATAGTCAAAGAGTGTGTGTAAGAGGGAGAGGCGGGAGGCGGAAAATGAAAAAGGAAAAATGTCAAACCCGAGGCGCGTGCTCTTCCGAGCCACACCTTTTTTTTTTTCTTTACGCTTTAGATTTTTTTTTTGTTTTGTTTTTTGCTTCTTTTGAAGAGATGTATTTGATATATTGGATGTATCATTCCAACGGCTTTTTTTTTTTTTTTTCGCTTTGTCTACTCCGTATAGACACATTCCTTTTGACTATAGGGATAGCCCGTACGTCACAATGTGACTTGCAGGAACCACTTCCGGTCAGCCCCGGCTTGATGTCCACTGTGGATGGCCTCGGGCCATTCACCGTTTAGGGATGCCCGGCTTGCATGTACCTAGACTCTTGGGCTATCAACTGTTTCATGACTATTTTCTACCCCCGAAATCCGGAGAAAAGGGGAAAAACACGGGTGTTTCTGAACTTGAAGTCCCTATTTACTCCATGCTCCATACACAGCCACGGGGGTGCAGATCTTCAAAGGTCTGATTCCCACGTTCATTTCATGTACAATGTAAGGGACACACTCCGAGATAATGTCCAGTATGTCTCAATAGAACAATAAAATGAAAATAAGAATCCCTTGTATAACTAAACCAAATCTACCGTTGACTCCAAATTATTTGGCCGCTTATGAGACCTTGTGATGTTTTTGGTCTTCTCAGATATGCTGCTTAGATGTCTTCAATCCCCACTATCGCCCTTCTCGGCTTTATAAGTAGGTAGACGACAGAGAGAAAGAAGGAGCTTGATTTGCGAAAACAACTTTTCTATGTACAATATACAATCTGGGACAGTATAAAAGTCCAAAAGCCAAAGGCAGAATGTTTTCACCGCAGCAACCCTGCGCTAATCCCGATTAGGTTAAATATCAACACGATCCATCACTTCGGGCCCAGACCGTCTTTCTCGACCTCGTTGAACAGAAACATCCTAACCCCCTTAACACAGGTATTTTGCACCCCAGATTAATATACTGGGCGCACAGGTCTTCCTCGATAATGTTAACCCGGTCACCCTCGCCAGTTTCAAGTCACTCGACACCAATGGAGCCCAAACAATCCAAACCCAAGTCGGTGGCTCAGCGCAGAGTGTACGGGAAACGAAGAGCCAATGCCCCTAGGGCAGTGCTTGACCAAGGAAGCCCGGCCAGAGAAACCAGATCCAGAACTCAACATGTCGACCCTGTTGAAGGTCTCCAAGTGAAACTAGCACAAGTGACAATTGATGATGGCGCGACCCCCCAATCTGGCAATTATGCAAAGCCTCCAAAACCCGAGAGCAAACAGCAGCACAGCTTGACAGAAATCCCCTCGGATGAATTGAGTCCGTCCACAATAGAGAACATTTCGGGCACGCCGACGACGCAATCCTCCGTCGAATCCTCCCCGGAGGAGGCGAGGCCAAAACCGAAGCAACGCGAGACGATGGTGGAGGTCAGAATATGCCCAAGGGTCCCAGAAAGCCTTCCTCAAATCACATCAAATTCCCCGGCTTCGACCTCAGAGTCCACAAGTGAGGATCGAGAAAAATCAAGGACATCTTCCGACAGAAGGAGAGCGGAAAGAAAAAGGATTCCTGCGCACAGGCGGTCATCTGGAGTTGTTCACAACAGCGAGGCCAGCGACTACGTTGGCCCAATTCTGAGTGAGGCACTATCTCCAATTGCCGCGCAAGGCATTCAGAAGTTCGGCTCATGGGCTTCGCGATCAGCAAACATGTTCGATGTCGCAAAACTCGCAGAGGGATCTTACGGTGAAGTCTACAAACTTCATCTACGGGAGGAGGCTTTCAGGCCAGTGGTTTCAAAATCAAAGTTGGCTAAACTAAAATCATACGGTGATGGAGTCTTCAAGGTCGTGCCTCTGCGAGCCAAGAGCGGTCCCGGATCCAAAAAGTTCACCACCATTGACGAGATTGTTTCTGAGGTCAAGATGCTCAAATATCTGGACCCCATCCCTGGCTTTGCTCGCTTCAGGGAGATTCATGTTGTTCAAGGTCGTTTCCCAGAGTCATTCCAAAATGCATGGGACCACTACAAGAAGACCAAAGACGACTGCATGAATCCCAACCCGTCCAACAAAAGAGCTTATCCCGACACGCAGCTATGGGCTATTGTGGAGATGGACGACGCGGGATGTGAACTGGAGAAGTTCGCTTGGTCATCAATTTTCCAGATATATGATATCTTCTGGGGAGTTGCCATGGCTCTGGCCCGGGCAGAGGAGTATGCTATGTTCGAACATCGAGATCTTCATTTGGGAAATGTTTGTATACGCTCTACGCGGGAAGATGGCTGCATGGATCCCCCCACAGAATTCGATATTGCACGCATGCCATCCTCCAGTGGGTTTGGAATCAGCTTCCTTGAAACTACCATTATTGACTACTCCCTCTCCCGGGCGGATCTACTCCTAACCGATGACCCCACTGGTCTCACGGAGGTTGCGTCATCAGACCTGGACAAGAAGCAATTGTTCGACGCTATTGGCCAGGATGAAGACGAGATTATGCAAAGAAACACCTACCGATAGTATGCTACCCCATCTCTGCCCTTCTGCTTTCTTAAGCAACTTGCTAACATCAAAAATTAGTATGCGTGCAACGCTCTATACTGGTTGTCCCATAGAGACAGAAAAGGTGGCGGATATTCCGGGCATATGGGCAGAATACTCCCCACGGACTAACTTGGTCTGGCTACTGTTCCTGCTTCAGAGTCTGTTCAAGAACCGCAAACCTGAATCATCGCCTGCACAGCCACAGCGAAAGGCTCTTGCGTCTTGCTCGCCCAACAAGATGACACCGAAGCTGGAGACAGGCAAAGGGAAAGACCACAACGTGACCGGGCCCCTCGTCAAGGAGGGACAGACCAAGGATGTCCAGGCTGGTATTTCCCGGCTCAAGCAAACACTGGATGGCAGGCTAAAAGCCGTTCTCAAACTTCTCGATTTGGAGCATGGACATGAAGACATGTGTTGCGCCGCGGATTTGGTGGCCTACGCGATGGATTCACAATGGCTGAGTGAACAAGACTTTTTCTGATGATTCCTTGGTATACAAAAAGCATTAGCGCACGGAGGAGTTACATGGATTTTGTAATTTGCATGGTTAGGCCGGGGAGTTATTATCATTTGTTTACATATTGTGGGCTTGGGGATGGTGTTGGAATATAAGGTGCATTACCTTGGATAGGTCACCGGCACAAGGATTTGCATATACGTATACCGGATTTTGTACGGCAACTCTTGGCGGTCTCCTTCCGTTCTAGTGCTCGCCCTCTCGCCGCTTTTGCTCACTGAGTAGAACTGAGCACGCCCCTGCTCAACCTGAGCTGGTCAGCGATCATTGCGTAATCAATCTGTCCACTCACTTAGAAAGACGATCTTGGTATAAAGCCAGAGCTTCTTGAAAGAATTTGCGATAAGTATCGCGCCACTTTTGATCCTAATCATTAGTCAGAAAGAACTGAAACTTATTGACAGGCGTAAGTATTGTATTAACCGTATAGATATGCCCTCGAACATTGTCAGTCTGAGAGTAATACTCATCTAGCTTTAATCGACCAGCTTCGAGTGCGTTAAGCATATGCTTTTTCCATGGGATACGCTTTCGCCGGAGCTGCTTCATTGACTGTTTAAAATGTTCAAAGAGTTTGTTGTAAACTTTGAACATATAATGCGCAGTGATATCTCGAGACTTTGAAAGTTGAGTAGTATAGTTAAAGAATGGCTCAGTGAAGAGAGTCTACTTAGCGCTACTCTTCATTATTAAGTAATAGATCCTCACGATCAGAAGGGTGTAAAAATAGCACGGAGCCGCTTTGCACGACGAAGCATTAGGAATGTTGAATTCCACAGAGTCTTCACATCCTAGATCGGTATAAGCTTTGGGTCCTTAGTCTGGAGATTATTGAATGTCTCCCGACGCTGAGGACCTACGTTCACGTAGATCGCAAGATAGCGGATCTTGTTCAATATGTAGGAGATCTCTCGCTCCCGGTGCTGTGCATTTGCCTGGGCTATATAAGACTGTTACTCTGTCCACTTTGTGTGAAGGGCTGTAGCAGAATTGATTTAATTGTACTAGGCCAACATGCTGTTTACGACAATATTTAGGAAAGGAGGAGAAAAGGAAGGGAATCGGTCCCGTCTCTAACGGAATTCTGATAGATCGGCTACGCAAAGGAAGCAGGAGAGAAAACACGCACGAGTTTTGTCTATCTTTTTTAGAGGAGAGCGTGAACAGAAAACAGGCCTTATAAAGGTATAACAGGAAAGTAGCGCTGGTCCCGCAGCAAGACGGACAACCGCATCCAGCATAGAGGTATTCTCCATTAAATTCTTTAGAATCTTCCCCGCCAGCAGAAAGGAAGAGAGTCGGTCTTGTCTCTGATAGAATCCTCTCGAATCCTTTCTGCCAAAGGCGGTATCCGTAAGGCCATGGCACATGGTTTACAGCCGGGCTCTAGCCCGTCACAAAGCGCTCCTTTTCCTGAGGGTTGGTGTTCTTGCCTTGTTCCTAGGAGCTTATCGTGCTCCCGTTCTGCTCCTGGGAGCTTATCACCTTAGGGCGTGATTAGTTGCATGTGACTTTGTCGTAGGCGACTCCACTCCTGGTGGTTGTTTCGAACGTTGTAGCCAGAGATCACCGTGCTGAGATCTGGCAGATTTCCAGGTTGAGCGGCCAGATCTCAGCAAAATCATGTTATACATAGATTCAGCCTTGACGGTATCCAATGGAGTATCGCGGATGACTCTGCATACTGGTGCGGAAAGGCGATGCAGCGATAGGATGGTTTTCCCGCTAGGTAGTTTTGGAAGAAGCTAGTCTGCTCCCCAAACGTGTTGGTACGACATCCGCGGTTCTTCTCTAATCTGGTCGGATGATCAGAGAAAAGCTATTCAGGATGCCTCGGCCACAGCATTGCAGATTATGTGGGAGCTTATCACAGGCGTCAGCGCTGTGGGTGGCCTCTCCTCGGCCTTTTTGTGGAAGAAAAAGTTATAGAAGATTGATGAATGCCATATTGCTTGCTTTCTGGTTTCTTTCTCTCTCCTATTGTCTGGCAAGATAGACCAGCTAGCGATACAGTAGTTGCAAAGTGTTGTGGACAAAGTCAGACTGGTAAAAAGATCAAAGCAAGGATGAGCAAGGGCATCAATGAGTGTCAAGAGCAGGGGTGTTTAGGCTGAAGAATAAAAAAAGGAGGCGTGTAGGGAGCCCTGTCTCACATGAGGCTGCATTGATCACGCAGTGTGATGATTGTTTCTCTTCTTGGCCTTGATCATTTCGGCGTCGTCAATCGCATCCCAGACAGGTTCTGCTAAATTATGCAACAGCATTTCCGCTGTGAACACGAAATCACCCTCGCCTTCTCCTGGCTCATCCAATAGCAGAGTGTGAAATGGTATAGTCAAGGGCTCTCCTTCAATCGTAGGGCTGGAGCCATCTCTCCCCCTCGTAATGCGAATTCTCTGAGTCATTCGAGGTGGCGGTGGATCTTTGATGCGTCTGTCGATAACCTGGCGACCACCTGCTGTGATATAGATATTGCGTAGTGATGATTCGAATGCTGGAGTCCAGGATTTGATTTCAATGGAGCGAGATCCTCTTTTGATATCGATAGTGATCCCCATTCTTACTTCGCCCTTTGATCCATTGATCCACCAAGCGATGTCCCTCTCTAGTTTTAGTGTTGTCTCAGAAAAGCTAACTTCTAATGCCACCGTTGGGAATTCTCTCCCTTGGCGGGCTGGCTTCCAGGATCGGTCTGCCTGCTTGTTTCGCTCAGGGGTATCCACAAGAGTCGCTCCGCATTTCGCAATCCGTCTGTTGACGTTCATCTCTAGCGCGAGCGTCACAATCATTGCCTCAAAACTGGACGCCGCTTCTTCGTGCGGTTGACTAGGCATTGTTATAATGAGAATTTGAAGTGATGGCGAATAGTCACAGCGACCTGGCAATTGTTCCTCGTTCTCGGCTAGTATCTCTGCCGGAAAGTGTTTCAAGACGATAAAACGATCTTCGACCGAATACGGAGGAAAGAGGCTCTGTATAGCGCACTGTTGATTGTAACAGTAAACGGGCGTACCAGAGGGAAGGTGCGCGAGAAACGTCCCAGCACCTTCTTCTGACACAACGCCCTCGCTTTGATACACACGTGACATGATTTCCTGAACGGAGTAGCAGCGAGGATATTTGTATGGCGATCTGTCGGTATCCCTAGTTTTCACCGAGACGAGAAGAGGGGAGAAATTACATAGATCGTGATGTGGGGCCTTGTCATAACCTCGTGGCCATGATGTCATTGGGGCATCGCCCAGGCGAATGCTTGGCTTCCCTGATCCGAAACTATCGCTTGCGACGATGCTGGCTAGCAACACACAAAGCGGTCTTTGCCCGGTATATCTGGTTCGACCGTTTCCCTGGTCTCTAGATTCAGATTTTTGAACTGCCACTGTATCTCTCGCTACCTCCATCATGAGTAGCTAATCTTATCGGTTCATGCCTTCTTTCCAATTTTCGAGCTACGTGGTATCAATTCATAATCAGTATTCGGTCTCAGACGAAATTCTCAAACAATTTTGACTGTTGTTTGTTGGTGTCGTTGGCCATGAACACATGGTTTAGGGCTCCGAAGACTCCATGACTACTCCATGACCGCATCCAGCTATGCACTTGGCCAACTTGTTGCAGTGCCACGTTCCAAAATCTCGGCATGTTAGGAGATCCTGTCGGGTTGTCGGGTTGCTGGTACTTAGTTTCTCAGCAATACCTCCAGCATGCGGCCAGTAACCAACAGGACTACGAATTCGGTATGGATTGCCTATACAGTAGAGTGGTAGGAGGTTATATGACGACTTATTAAAGGGAATTGGCCTATACTCGAACATAAAAATCATTGCGAGAACGAAAAGTCGGGGGTACTTCCTAATAGAACGTCCTTCAAAGACAGGTATCGAGTTGACGAACATCCCGACACCAAGGCAGATGCAGTCCTGGTAATATTGCTAGCACCAACAGCACCTAAGTTCGACCTATAGGCTTTACGAGCTCAAGTTTCCATCATCAAGGCATAGAAGTATAGAAAAACCAAATCGACTTGTTAGCAATGTTCAGAGGCAATTGTGTCAACACAAAGACAATTGGCTTCAGCCAATCAGCGAGCAGCCCGCATGGTCGATAAAAAATCACCAGAGCTCTAGCACTACACTCAACGCGCTAGTTGTCACAGAATAGGTGACCCTGTGGGGCATGTCCTTTTGGGTATAGTCTGATATGGGCTAGAAGAAAAGAAGTACTCCATACAGCTCGCTGACCGGACAATTAGTGCTGGCAAGTAACGTAATTCCCGGCCACCCTGGCCACCCCATCAGAAATCGCGTCAACCTACCAACCTACCAACTTCAACCAACTACCATGCCACCAATTCGCTCTGAATCCTTACAGAAATCGGCCAATCAAGAGGGCAAGATCTTATTAGCCCTTGATGATCTTCAAAACGGCCGTATCAAATCTATTCGTGCAGCAGCAAAGGTATACGAAATTCCACGCAGTACCCTACAAACGCGTGGATATAGTGTAGTCTCTATCGTAGAGAGACGCAACCCTAGCCATAAATTGACCCAACTAGAAGAGAATACGCTTTGTGAGTGGATTCTCTCTATAGATACGCGTGGAGCAGCCCCTAGGCCGGCTACTGTACGAGAGATAGCCAATATCCTACTAGCTGCATGCGGTAGCCAGCCACCACCTACCGTTGGCAAGAATTGGCTATCAAAATTCGTTGAACGCCGCGAAGAGCTTCGAACGCGTATTAAACGAAGACCCGAAAGCCCTACGAGCCTGGTTCGCGACCGTACAAAGCGTGATTGACGAGAACGGTATACAAGCGGAGGATATCTATAACTTCGATGAGATAGGCTTTGCAATAGGCCTTATATCCTCGCAGAAAGTAGTAACGCGGGCGGATTGGTACGGTTAGAGTAGACCTTGCCAACTCCCATCATTTGGTCCCATGGGACCACTCCCATGGGAGTAGATGGGACTCCCATATGGTCCCATGGGAGTGCCAAGAGATGGGAGTGAGGTGCTAGTCCGCTCCCATGGGACTTTGATGGGACTCCCATGGGACTGTAAACACTGCAAACACGTAGAAAAACGTGACCTGCATAAGATATGCAGAAATGCCCTGTATTAATGGGTATTTAGCTTACAGTGGGAGGTAGCATTGAATGATTCTGGATTAATTCCTCTCAAAAAGTAGTGTAATTATAGTATCCTGTGATTAAACTATCTAGTATACTCGTATAGATCTTCATCCCTACGCCGCTTACGATCTCTTTGGGGGCGTGCCTGACTTGTAGTATCGATGGCAGGCAATGGATGTAGTGCCGAATCATCATCTGACTCCTCAGCGGCCTCCTGATCGGTAACAATCTCTCCTGCTTCATCTGAGTTATCACCGTCCTCACCCTCGCTAATTGCCTCTGGTATACACTCAGGAAGTCCCGCCTCCCTTACCTCATCACCCTCAGTCCTTTCGTCCTGATTTAAGGTAGCCTCAGGTTGGAAATCCTCCCCAGTTTCCTCACTTTCAATATCAAATTTGGATAAACAACGAAGCATCATCAAATCCTGTATTGTTACTTCGTTCAATGAGCCTCGTCGATAATGGCAGATATCGCGAGCAGTACTAAAGAGGCGCTCAACACCGGCGCCAGTAGCTGGGATAGAAAAGACATCCCGTGCAACCGCTGCGAGTATCGGAAATCTATACTCATTCTCTTTCCAGAAATGGCATGGGTTTACTATGCTCCGTTCTATATATAATTAGCTTAGTTAAGTTATAATCATGATCATCTAAACATACCAGTATTAAGATATCCCTTAAGTTCTTCTTGCCACCCAGTCTTCGGCTGCGGTGGTGGCTCTGGTTGATCCTCCTCGAAGAGGCTCATCATTGCATCCGTGCTATGCGAGGAGGACTTTACCTTTGTAAGCACTTGCTTTTTAGGCTGGCGTTTTGAGTAATCCTCCAAATGATTATGAAGAGACTTTTCATATATGTCATGCCAGGAGGAATCCATATTATCGACTTCACCTGCCCACTCTGGTCCTTTAAAGAATTCAAGTTTATGCTGAGGTGCAAGAATTGTACCAATTGCATATAGGCTGCCATGTGCTTGCTCAGTTGCTTTATAGTATACCGAGAGTTTCTTACTTCCGGCCTCAAGAGCCTTAAGCATAGCCTTTTTCCAAGGCACTTTCTTTCGCCGAAGTCGGGCCTGGGCCTGCTCAAAATGGGTAAATAGTCGGTTGTAGACCCGGAACACATCATGGATTATTGTCGCCTTAATCTTTGATAGGCCAACCGTCCATTTGTAGAAAGGCTTTGTGATATGGAGCAAGTATTCGATCTGCCGCCATTCGCTTTTACTAAGCCGGAATTCGGGGCGCTGATGCTCTGCGCAATATCTTTAGTAGCTATCTGAAAGGCGATTGGCGCGCTGGAGCATAAGATATGTTGAATTCCACCGAGTGCGTACATCCTGGATCGGGGCAAGCCTCGGTTCTTCGCTTTAAAGATTTAGAAATGCCTCCCGTCGCTGTGGGCTGGCATTAATAAAAACTGCGAAGGCCCGTACCTGGCAGTATAGTAGTTAGTATTAGATAAAATTGTTAAAGGCATTAGTTACTTTACCTTAGCTAGCGTATAAATGATTCCCTTCTGTCTCTTTGCCTGTTAAAGAACACTCCCGTTTTCTTCCGACCATATTGTTGCTGTCTTGTCGTTTTTTGGATCAGCCTTTATTAGGCCAAGGAGATCTTTCAGACTCAATTAAATCACATGAGCAAGACATGGAATCCGTACAATTTCAGTGAAATTAGGAAGCTCTAACCGTTCGATTGAATCACATAGACTATCGACTAAGGTCTTATTATTTGACGCATTGTCTGTAGTAATCGCAATCACTCGATTGGTAACCTGCTGTTGCTGAAGAACCTCAAGGAGAACGTCTGCTAGATAGGAGCCTGTATGCTGGCCGTGAACTAGCATGAAACCTAGAAGTATCTCATGATAATCCCAATTAATATCCACAAAATAGCCTGTGATTGCCATGAATGCCTGTTAGAAGGGTGAGGTCCAACAATCAAGGGCAATTGATAGCTTCGCTCCGGCTGGGAGAAGAGAAAGGAGCTTTTACTGCTCTGTATGGACGATTGACTGGAGCCGACGCCGCGCGGTCTTTGGTGATAGAAGGGTGAGTTTTTGTTGAGAAAGCTGAGCCTCTGTAATTAGATCTTCAAAGTCTTTATGCCGGAGGATCTGAAATGGAAGGCGTGAGTTCGCTATAAATTTGACTTAGGCTCTTTCAAATCGTTGTTGGTCAAAGACTTTTCGGGTAGGCGTACGAGTAGACTAAATATAATATAGATATTAGTATCAAATCGATAGAATGTAGAATCGGACGTATATAATACCGCAAGTTCGAGCGATTGCTGTATATCCTGTTGTGTTGAAGCCTTTTTCGAGGTAACTATGCATGCGCGGCTAGATAAATGTGCAGTAAGTGACTTCGAACCATTTAATGTCGAGGATGGGTGCGAGAGCGCTTTTCCACACCTCCGACAGAGTGCCATTAGTTTCCCGGTTTGAAAGTGTGCTACTTGGTCAAAGTGCTCCCAAGTAGCAGAGGTATACCTTGCTTCAAAGTTCACTTTATGAAGCGGAGGGTGTGGGTGAGCACCTGCCGTATGGCGCCACCACTCAACGAAGTCGGTCTTATTCATTGTAGTCCAAAGAACCCAGAACTTTTGATGTTTAGGACCGATACGGCGGAGATTTAGAGGAATCGGATTCGGCTCTATTTGGAGGATTGAGGATTCTGGTCCGCTATAGATTGGCTGCTGGCTAATTGAATGATCTGGCGTAAGGGGGTCATCAATAATGCCAATGCTATAGACTGAAGAAGGTGGAGGAATTCCGGCGTGGGACAATGTGATCTGGGATGAAGGGCCAGCCTCAGCGTATAGTTCGTATTGCGACATACTAGAATAACAATTCTGTTGAACTAGAAGAGGGTTTAAAAAGCATATCTCTAACACCTACCTTTACAGTCGCGAGAGTCACGTTCGGCTACTAGTAGAGTTTAAACGAGTAATAGCGCGAAGATACATCACAAATAGGCTAGTACCCACTTATTATATGTTACTTATTGGTCTGTTCGACGGGACTCCCATGGGGGTCCCGCGGGACTCCCGTGGGACTCCCATGGGACTCCCATATAAAAGGGAAATTGATTAGATTTAGGGGTATCTACAATCCCCCACAACTTTAAGGGGAAAATTCTCACTTTTAAGCCTTCTTTATCCCGAAATTACTCAATAACCACGTAGTATGAATAGTTATTCTAAAGTGAATATAACTAATTTAGAGGTAAGGTTTCTTATGGTGCGGGAATTAAATATAATTTGTTAAAATCTTTGTCAAATTTATACTTTCTAAATAATATGTAGAAAATGTAGTGTAGTACCTCTCTGTAAATATATATTTTGCTTAACCACTTCCTTCTAATACTATGTTTAAATCTCCTTTGCGCCCAAAAGCCACCACAATCTAGTATATGAAGTTTTTTTTTTGAAGATGGATGCTTTTTGATATATACTTGAGTCATTTGTTAACTCTATTATGGACTATGTCATATAACAAAACCATATTGTTAGACATTGAAAGTAGGGACACTCATACGCCTGTAAATAACAGTATTTTATCTGATTACTTTGCAGTTTTGTGCAGCTGAAATAGGAAATCCTTGGCAAAATTATGCTAGCGTGGGACCATATGGGAGTCCCATAACTCCCATGGGACCCCCATGGGACTACTAGGGTAATGGGACCGGAATTTTTTTAGTCCCATGGGAGTAGATGGGACCAGGATATGGGACCAAAATTTTCTTAGTCCCATGGGAGTTGGCAAGGTCTAGGTTAGAGACGTCTACTACAGCTAGGAAATCGCGAATAGGTCACTGCTATCGAAGCAATATACGCAGATAGCTATTCGCTACCGCCATACGTGATCTTTAAGGGCAAAGTAGCTATCGTAAGGTGGTTTACCGAGAACCTACCAAGAGACTAGCGAATCGAAGTCTCTAATAATAGCTAGCCTACTGATAAGATTAGCCTACGTTAGCTATAAAAGCTTTTTATCCCATTAACGAATTCGCGTGTTCGCGGCCGGTTTCGACTATTGATTCTTGACGGTCATAGTAGCCACCTTACGCCCCAATTCGACCGAATCTACGCAGAAAACGATATTATACCTCTTTATGCCTTCGCATTTATCGCATCTACTACAACCACTAGATGTTGGCTGCTTTACAGTAGTCAAGAGGGCGTACAGCCGTTTCGTTAGCGATCTTACGCGCAGGGGATATAACCATATCGACAAGTACGATTTCTTAGAGAACTACCAACGCGCGCGGCTAGAAGCCTTCCAATCCGCCAATATCATCCAAAATAGCTTCGCAGCTAGTAGCCTAGTACCAGTTAATGCAGCGAGAGTGCTTGATAAGCTTAATATCTCTCTACGAACTCCGTCACCACTAAGCAGCCGGCCAAGCAGCAGATCTAGCTAATTCACGCCAAAAACGCCTAGAACCGTCATTTAGCTACAAAAGCAAGCTTCGATGCTTAAAGATCTGCTAAAGCAGCGGTCGAATAGCCCCCGAGCCTATCAAAAACTATATTAGATCGGATTATCAAGGGCCACTGCGAAGCGCTACACAACACTGCATTGCTTACGCAGGAGAACGCGAATCTACGCATAGCGAACGAGAGGATCGTTAAGAAGCGTAATCGGTCAACTAGGCATATACCCTACGAAGAGGGTTTAACCGTCGAAGATAGCCTACAGCTAGTTACGCAGCTACATTTGCCAGCAGAAGCAGCTGTGGTAGAATCGCATACGCAGGGCGAATTGCCTATTCAAGCAGATCGACCGGTAAAGAGGGCTCCACCTAGGTATAGTGGGTGTAGGGAGATTGGCCACAGGATTAATGTATGTAAAAATCGTTTTATCTAGTCAAATTAATCGGTGTTAGTTGAGATAATCGATTTTGAAATTTTCTGATGGGGGTTGGTGGCCAGCGTGGCCGGGAATTACGTTAAGAAGTGGCTGAGTGATCACTAAAACAATCACATGACTGCCCTGACCAGATCACTGAGCATAAGCCCGTGCTGACATTTACTCAGTGAGCCTAAACCTGATCGCCCCCATAAAAGCGGCGGCAGCCCAGACAGGAAGCCCCACCCGGCGGACATTATCCTGTGTATATAAGTGCATATACAATATCTTGTATTCTACATTTTTTTACACGGAATCCATGACTCTACTTTCACCTCAAATTAGAGGCATAATCAAATGAAATCATTTGCCGAGGAACACGTCACACCCATCATAAGCCAACTATCAATCTACGACTCTGCCCTCTCTGACATGAATGTGTATCTGAATTTTTTTCTATTCTAGGCAGAAGGTCCAACCCTAAATTTTCCCAGCCTTTTGCATGTTATGTTCAAATATCCCAGGGTGGACGAAACAAACAGCCCGGCCGTAACCCTAAAACAAAAAAAGGAAACGCCATCGCAAAGTCTTTAAAACAAACGCTTTTCGGCTCCATGCTTTTCCCCCGTTGACACAACGACCCGTCTCAACCGGATATGTAGCTTTAAAAGATCAAGTTGCGTAATATCGTGCGTCGTGTCGTAAATGGCAAAAAGAATTACAGAGCAGATCCAGCACCCACACGAAACAGCTTGACCATCAGCTCAGGTCGGCTCCAGAGCGAGAAGGACTTCTGGTCAGTCCAGTTGACAGACTCAGGGAGCAGCTCTAGGTCGAAGTTCCACAGAAGCTTAGCGAGAAGGAGACGCATCTCGGCGTTGGCAAGGCTGTAGATGAAATGTTAGCAAACACCGCCAGGTACAACTCAAGTAAAAACACGGATAGAGTGAGTAGGTAGGAATTGAATGTATGCTTACTGTTGACCAAGACAGTTGCGCGGACCGTAGGAGTATGGCTGGAAGGCCTCCTTCTTATCGTTCATGTACTCGTCGGACTCGTTCAACCAGCGCTCTGGGACGAATACCTCGGGGTTCTTGAAGTGCGAGACCGCATGGAAGGCGGAGTACAAAGAGACGGAGACGGAGGCCTGTTTGTATTCAACTGTTGTCAGTATTGAGAAGGCCATGAGATGGAAATAGCAAAGATGGAACTGTCCTCTTATAGAACAAGCTCCATGTACTTTGTATATTGTGTACAAAATGCCACAGACACACACCAGCACCAGAATATTGTACTCACATTTCCAGGAACGTAGCGGTTGTTGATCATGGCTCCTCCCTCGGGAACAACTCGGGGAAGCATGGAAGGAATAGGCGGATAGATGCGCATCGCCTCCGTCAAAACAGCATTGAGGTATGGGAGCTCCACGAGAGTGGACAGCTTAATGTCAGCGTCTTTGTCGAAAGCGCCACGAATTTCCCGGATCAGACGCTCGTACTTGTCACGGCAGCGCAGAAGATAGTATGTCACACCGGAGAGGAGGGCAGCGGTAGTCTCGCTGCCGGCCAGAACGAGCACTGCGGAGTTTGCATCCATCTCCTCAAACGACATGCCCTTTCCATCCCTGGAATGCTTGAGGATGTACGAAGTGAAGTCGGGGCGAGTGGCGCCTAGGGCGAGACGACGACGAATTTTCTCGACGCTCAGGTCGAAGCTGGCCTGGCGTTTCTGAAGCAGGTGCTTGGGGACGAGGACCCGGACCAAGGGGATGAGGAAAGGGTAGAACCAAAAGATCTTGAGGTAGGCACTTGCCTTAACAGCATCCAGAATAATTCGAACCCACCAGTGGTAAGTGCTGTTTGACAAGCAGCCGAAAGGTTCTCCAAAAGCGAGGTCACCAATGAGGTCGAAGGTAGTAAAGTTGAACCAGCAGGTAATATCAATATTCCGGGACACTGCACTTCCCATGAGGCCCTTGAGCTTTTCGATGAACATGCCGGCGTACATCTGGAGGATTTCTTCCTGCTCGCCCAGAGCTTTGTTGGAGAAGGCATGGGTCAGCAAACGGCGCATGCGGGAATGGTCATGCTCATTGGCTGTGATAATTGCATTGACACCGTTGGGAGTGGGTGCATACAAGGCCGGATCCTTGATGAAGACTAGTTGTCCCTTCTTGCGGTGACCGTAGATCTCCTTCCAGGCGGTTGAGGCACGGTAAACGAGGGCATTTGGAGCAATACGAACCACGTCTCCATACTTGTCGTGAAGACGCTTCATAGTCGAGTGCTGCTTACCCTGGATGTCCCAGATGAGATGAACCAAAGGAGTGATGGCAGCCAGCTTGGGTCCAGGGTAGCCACTCAGAGGGTGGAAGCAGAGAGTGTAGGTGATCCAGCCCACATAGTAGACACACAGCTGTATTTTTTTTTTGGAAATGAGACACACACTCCTTTATGCTATTCTTGTATGTCAGCACTCACCAAGGCAAGGAATCCACTCAGTAGACTCCAAAAGGAGGGGACGGTCAGGGCAGGGCACCAGCTGCCCATAGCCAAAGAATCGAGAATCATTATGGACAGTAACTAGAGAAGGTAAGATACAAGACCAAAGACATCTAGGGAGGTTCGTCTTACTGAAAGACAACCGGAAAAAAAAGCAGGTATCAAAAGAGGGAAGTGTTGGGGGGGGAGGGAAGAGAGGAAGAGAAGTGGAGGATGAAGGAACTGAGAGGGGACCGGGGGTGGGCAATCGGCAGGTAACTTGCAATAGGAATGAGTTGGGAGACGTAAAACGCTGTGGGAATAGTTTACAGGAGGTATTTTAGACCAAGTGCGTGTTTAAAAGCAATTGAAACCGCGAAGGTGACAGCCGGCAAACTTCGACTTGGAGTCTCAAGATAGGGCTATCCCAGTCAAACGGAAAACAGGGCTACATTAAAGGGCTCAATGGGTCACCAAACAAAGGAGTACTCATGCTTAGATCAAGTAATGGAAGAATTTTCATGGCTCATCATTCGTTATATTTGGGTACGAAATCAGCCACTGGCAACAGAAAAACTCAACAAGCTCCCAGCAGCCAGTCCACCAACAAGAACCATGCTCATAAATCCACCAGCAGCCGGTCTTTCATCGGCAACAACCCAGTGACTAGCGCCCATCATACAGCTTGTCCCAAGGTACCCATTGGTTGCACCAAAGAAGAACTGTACTAGGAGATAGAAAATGTCACTCTTGACGGCAGCCCCTTGACCGTTGACGTTGCAGAGCTGGTACATGGGAATGAAAATAACACGGGCAATTGCCATGATGGCAGCCATCTGAGGATGCCGTCCCAAAGACACCCCTGGGATAGCCACACACATTCTCCCGGCCAAGTCGCCCAGGTTCCAAAGGAGAAACGCCAAGGGAACAAAGACACTAGGGTCGTAGATCCGTGAACTGGCAGGGTCGTTGACGGACTTGATTTCCGCCGTGTAGACTGGGAACACCATAGAAACCAAGAAGCAGACGAACACAGCAAAAGCCAGGAAGCGCAGCTTGACAAACAACGTCCAGAGGCTGACAGTCTTGGAAGACTCGTGCTCATCTGCAACAGACTCGTTGTCATCTCTTAACAACTTTTGCCTCGGGGAGGGTTGTTGTCTCAGAAGATAAAGGAAGGCCAACAGAGCAATGGCCGAGACACCCGTAGACGTAAGAAAGTAGATAAACGCCGACGCCGACGAACTCGTCTGCGGCATGCTGGGGTCTTGGTCCCGGTCAACGCTACCATCCTTTGACGGCACAGCCAACACAGAGAAGATCTGAACAATGCAAGGCAGCACACCGGCAACACCCTGTCCGCCCATGATAGCCTGGGTATATTCCTCTCTTCCGAACCCGGAGACGTACGCAAAGACACCATTCTGGTTGATGCCAGTGGCCAGACTCGCGGCGAACACCATCACCATCAGGAAGCCAAAGTACGCTCGCGGGGAGGAATCGGTCATCACAACTGCCGAGAAGGCCAGAACAGTGAACACGACAGAGTTCATCAACAACGAAAACGATATTCGCCGTGGATAGGAGGCGTTCTTCTGTAGCTTTGCTAGGGCATAGGCGGATACGAGGTTGGTGACGGTTGACACGGACTGAATTGACGGCTGGTAATGCAGTCTTGTCCAGTCGTCCGACTGGAATCGGCTGTAGAAATATGGTGCGGCGGCAAGGAACATGTTCCTATATCGTGCTACACGTTAGTCTCATGGTTGACCCAACACATATAGCTTTGTTATCCGGGCTCGGAGGCTGTTAGGTTCCACTTACCAGGCCCACAGCATAGACACTCCTAGAAGGAAGAAGATACCATACTGTAATCTTGAAAAGGGAGACTGCTGGTGTCGCTGTGTATATGTTGTCTCGTCTGCGTCGTCTGCGGCGGAGTCTTGCAGTTGCTCATACGCCACTGGACGGGCGATAAGACTACGTATGCGGTTCATAGCTGTCTCTTTATACCCCTACTTCTTATGTAGGAGTAAAAGATTCTGTAAAAATAAGGAGATTATCTCACAGCAAAAGAGCTGTAATGCGCTGTTGAGGTTGACCCCGGGGCATATGACTGATTACTAAGCAAGATATGTCGCGGGATCCGCACGGGACTCCGGCCCCGTCGGGCGATCCTATCAGTTAACCAACCGTCGTGAGGGCTCGCCTACAGCTGCCATACCCTTTGTAACAAATTAAACGATACTATGTTCAAAGATGTTATGTACCTTCTCGATGGTTCACCAATTCTCGCCTTTTGATATCTTCAAAGTATTATCTTGGATACTATGTTTTTTAGTATTTTTTTTTCTTTATATCTAGAACAGAGCTTAGGTGATAAAAGTAGAACTAAACAACAATATTGCTATCAAGATGTATACACAGTCGCTACCGACTTATAATCTATCACAAAATCAAACATGCAAAACTTATATGGGAGGAGTATGAGCAGGGAAGACCGTGAGAGGTGAGTGTAGATGAGGGGACATATATTTGAACAAAAAGAATTCAAGAATGAACAGGAATAGTAGTAGTGAGATGGTAGTGTAAGGATATGGGCAGGAGTTAGCGAGGTGTCGAGGAGAAATTAGTCCTTCTTCAGAGGGAATGTCTCCTCTACCTCCTCTTCCTCCAGCTCAGGCTCTGACTCTTCCTTCTGGAGCTCCCAGAGCTGATCTGCCTCAATAGGCTCACCCGGAGGGGGCGTAGTTTCGCCGCCACTCATTTGCCATTCCATGAGCTTTGTAAAGGCGCCATCCGGGTTAGAGCTGAGCTCATCGTAGGAGCCCTGCTCGGCGACCTTGCCGTCGTTGCCAAGGACAATAATCGTGTCAGAGCGCTTGATGGTGGAAAGACGGTGGGCGATGCTGATTGTCGTGTTGTTACCGCTAAGAAGAGCGGCCAACGCACTGTTGACAAGGGTCTCTGATTCGGCGTCGAGGGCAGAAGTGGCTTCATCCAGAATCAGAATATCAGGCTCCTTGATCAGGGCACGCGCAATGGCAATGCGCTGCTTCTGACCACCGGACAACTGAGCTCCACGAGCTCCAACGTGAGTATCGAGTCCATCAGGCTGTATTAGGTTAGCTTGGTTCATGAAAATAATAGCTGCTCGGCGGACTTACGAAGTCGCTGATGAATTGACAGTTGGCCTTGCGTGCAGCAGCAATGATCTCTGAGCGTGTTGCCCGAGGCATGCCGTAGGATATGTTTTCGGCGATTGTTCCAGAGAAGAGCACAGGCTCCTGGGAAACCACGCCAATCTTTCTACGAAGAGACTTGGCGTTCATTCCCTTGATATCTTTCCCATTGATCAAGACCCGGCCCTCAGTTGGGTTATAGAACCGGAGCAAAATGGAAGCAATGGTAGATTTGCCTCCACCAGATGGTCCAACTATTGCAACGTTGGTCCCCTGAGGGATCTCAAAGTTCACTTCCCGGAAAATCTTCACAGCTGGACGGGTAGGGTAGCTGAACGTGACATTCTCAAATCGAATGGGTCCACGCGCGGTCTCGACCTTGAGACCCTTGGTTGGGTGAATCGTGGGCTGACGATCTTGCAGCTCAAAGAGTCGACTCGCCGCACCCACACCCTTCATCAGCTCTGAATAGAAGCTGGAGAGGCCGAACATGCTGGAGCCTGCATAAGCAGTGTACATCAAAAACGAAGTCAATTCTCCAATGCTGATAGCACCCGACTGAACCATCCCACCGCCAACATACAGCAAGGTCAAAATGGTCATATTGCCCATCAAGCCAGTCTAGTAGAAAGTCAGTGAAATTCACAAAAGAAAAAACCCAAAAGAATCAATACTGCCGACTTACCGAGCTGAAGAAGGTTGCGCTAATCAAAGACTCTTTTTTACCAAGCTCGAAGATCTTGCGGACTTGTTGGTTGTACCGGTGGACTTCGATGACTTCACCAGCAAACGACTGACTGGTCTTGACGTTTCCCAAACGCTCTTCCGCAATCTTAGTCAATGATCCCAGGTTCTTTTGGATTTTGCGACTGAGGTTCCTGATGGCTCGGCCGTAAAAGAGAGCGCCGAGGCCAATTGGAGGAAGCAACACAAGCAAGATCATAGACAGCTTTGCACTAGTATAGGCCATCAGACTGAACCCAGCTGCACCGCTAACAGCAGCTCGCAGACCGTCAGACAGGTTCTGCGTGATACTCTTGCCAACAATGATAGTGTCAGAGCTAAGTCGCGAGATCAGATCACCAACCCGGTTGGCATCAAAGAACTCAGCATCCTGCACAAAGGTTTGACGGAAAAGCTTGGAGCGTAGCCTGGCTACAATTCGCTCGCCAACAATTCGAAGAATTATGATGCGCCCGTAGTTTGCACCAGCACCGAGAAGTAAGATTCCACCGAGAGCAGTGTAAAACATGGGCATACTCAGGCCGAACAATTCGCCGCCTCCTTCCATTACACCCTTGGTTGCAGCGTCCATGATTTTACCAATGGAGAAAGGAACTGCCATTGTGATCGACGAGGAGATTAGGAGGAAAAAGAAAGCGAAACCGAGGGCCTTGGATTCGGGGCGCGCAATCTTCAAAAGCCGCCAGATTTCTGCGAATCCGGACTTCTTTCCCGATGCACCTTCCTTGGCCAATCTGGCGCTCATGTTGACCTGTGCTGCCTGCGCTGCTCGCTCGGACAATTCGAAGCCCTTGTCTTCCTCTTCTTTTGGTTCCGGGGCTGACCGGGTAGTTGGCTCCGTGGAGGTCGCGGGCGGCTTCGCTTGCAGAAGTTGAGGAGATGAACATAAAAGACGTGTTTGGGAGACAATGCGGGACGTAGAATGGGTATATTTGAAGCTGTTGTTTTGAAGGAAGAGTGGGTTGGCACCATCCCGGAGTGCACCCGAGGCGGTTGAATAGAGATGATTCAACCCATTGTGGTCGCCGGAAGAGACAATGGGCAATCTCGTTTTGAAAAGTAGGTCGCGAGTGAAGGAGTTATATGGTCTCAAAGCCGGCCGTGGGCTGATGCCCAAGGCCAGAGACACAGGCAGCCTGGCACCGCGCATCTCGGAGTTGTATC